TTTATTTACTTGACTCATTTTTTACTTTCATTTACTGTATTTTGTCATTCCATTTCTTATTTTCTCTTAAATTAAGTGATTTTAGATGTATACTCGTATAAGGGCTTCAGCTATGATATACTGGGATTTTAAACATAATTCTGTAAGTATGGTATGCACATGGCATGTGTTCCGACTTATGTACAAATCCGAATTAAGAACGTCCTCAAGAACAGAACCCATTCGTAACTCGGGGACCCCCTGCATAGTCTTTTTTAGAAGTTGAGTGTTCCCAAGTTCGGTCTATACTGTATACCACCATATCTAGTCACAATGCTTACTTGAAAAAATAATGTATATGGGAGCTTTGTGAAATAGATAGCATAAAAAAATAAAGTTTAAAAGCATAAATAATACTGACCTGTACTGTTATGCTATTTCCCAAAACATCTATCACAAACATTATTCTTTTCAAGTAAGCAACCGAGAAGAGTAGTATTAATATTGCTGACAAGGAACCATGAAGCCTTCAAAATTATGTGGCAGGACCATCAACCAGAATTGTGCCATGATCATAAGATACTGTGTGATAACAGGCAACATTTGGCATGTCGCCTCAAATCTTTGGTTCAATTTGACCAATGTTTATTTAAAAAATAAAGATAATTTAAGGTACAATATTGGCCTATTTATTCAATGTAATAATTATGTATGAATTATTTCTTTGGAAAGGGAACACAAAAAAACAAAACAAGATACAGTGCAATGTAGGCCTACCTAAGGAAATCTCAACTTTTAAAAAGACTACAGTATTCAATTGATTTCCCCATTTCTTATTTAAAGGTATGTATACAATGATTTTGATATCTCTCTCTCTCTCCCTCAGGCAGTAGACGATCCTTTTCCTGTGCCTGAGGGGCTTCACTTGCACAGTTAAGCCATAAGCATGACTGGAGTCCCCCAGGAGAAAATATTTGAGATAAAGAGTTTCTAACACATTTGTTTGCAAGGGTAGTGTATTGTCACCATCACCACTACCATTCTTTCCCTGCTTGTTTAGTGGCTAACTATAATACCTTTCAGGCATGTACAGGTAGCTCAATAAATGTCTCTGTCAGGGGTGTGGAGTGGTGGTGTTAACGTCTTGGCTGGCTAAGTTCATGAGCTGTGTGGTTGGGTCGCTTGTGCCTAATTACCGTGCTTACAAATATTTAAGGCACTTAATAAACTTGGAATTTGGGTATTTATAATAAATACAAGCATACTATATAATGTTTCGTGCTTGTATGTTTTAAAATACCAAAATTCAGTCGCTGCATCAAATGCCATAAATATTTATGTACAATATAAGCAATGTAAATTTCTTCAATCACAGTCCGTGTGGCTGGCTGGCCACCCACTACAAAGTTGCCACATTTTTTTTTATTTAACTTACAGTATATCGACCAAATAAGTCAATAAAATGGTGTAATTAAAAATTAAAAACTTAACAGATGAAATATTATGTGTGACTAATATTAATTTGCCAAGTCAACCCATATAAAGCAATCTATTACCGTATTGTACATTAAAGTGTGTGTGGTTGTGGGCTGAACAGCTGACTCACCCTCCGTGTGGTCGTGTGTGTGACAGCGGTGCACAAAATTATATGGTGGTCAAACTCTATTCAAGGTCGAATCTAGGAATTACTGTATGTATGCATTTTGAGTTAAATTATCATACATTTTTCACATTGGTTCAACATGTTTTGTTTAGGGTGTCAGTTGTACAGTGGTAATGTGCATAACTCTCACCAATATGCTAAGGTTTGAGCCTTAGCCCAGACACAAATGAGAAGGGTGTTATCCAGTGTGAACCTTCCAAATATCACAGATTTCCAGGTTCCAAAAAGTCGATTATTATTATTATAGGAATATATTATGAAATAGATTAAGATGAATGAATTATTTGAATATAATATGAATTATATTACGATACTGTACAAAACTACGTTTGGGTGCATAGCCCAGGAGAGGAGGTGGCGGGTGGAATTTGGATAAAAGGAAATGCACTGTAGATTAAATAAAGTTTACATCATTGGATTTACCATAAAAGCGAAGACGTTCTGCATACAGTGGCCTGACATGAATGAAGGAGGGTTTTAGGTGTTACTAGGTCAGTACCGCAGGAACCAAATGCTAAACTGGTGCAATAGTACACTACCAGATGATAGTGAGTATCCTAGATCTGCAAATGACAATGAACAGTGAGATAGTGTGCAATCGTTACTATCGCTTCCACCCCTTGCTTGCCAATTCCCACGCACACAGCGGCAGGAAATTTGAAAATTAATTAGCTTCCAAACATGGTTCAGGCGTGTTTGATGCGATTAAATAGTAGTATCGGTTTCAATTAATAAAGCATGGTAAAGCCCTGGCTTGGATAAATGATCGGCAGTAAAATACATACAGAGGGGTGTCACTTTGGAGATTCATACAAAGTAAAAAATTTGTGCCCCCCACCCCAGGGCAAAAAAATCAAGTTGTATGATGAGGACCTGAGATCCAAGTTGTGGCAGGAAACCTGGGACAAATTTGAGACGACTACACATCATCTGTTTAATACCAACAAAAAGAACTACTGTACTGTACTGTGTATAAAAGCAGTTCACATTCATGCATGTTGGCAGACTTACTCTGAATGACAGAAGGTCATAAACTTTTCATCTTCCTTATATTGTGTACAGTTTATGTGGTCTTGTTCTTAACACCTACACATCTAAACTGAGTATGCCATGGTATTACAAGAATTTTCTCTTTAAATTCACACAACATAGACCACCTTATCACTTATATCTATGCTTTAATGTTGACATATATAGCATACTGTACACCAAACCCCTTTTCTTCATGTGCTTTACACTATAAAGGTACCTACATAAGAATGAAAAATGTACTGAATAAAATATCACATATAAAACATGAAAGGGTCCAAACCTGCACCTCATCAATGCAAATGTAATAAAATCTGTGAAGGTCAATGAAGATGGAAGTAAAACTCTTTACTTACTATACTTCAGTGAACTGTCACAGCAGAGCACAACCAAACTCCTTGGAATGACTTGATATTGCAAAAGTTGATGCAGTTACATGTAAAAAAATGTGTTTCTGGTATCTGTGTAACAGTTATAACTAACATTATATATATATATTTATTTTTGATGGCCAAACTTAACACCAGTGAGTGAATTTAAAAAAATTTAACTGAAAGTATATTTCACTCACCTGAGACACTACTGTACATATACACCAAAAGGTATCTTAATACAACCACGCCTAATTCTCCAAATTATACCTTCACTCAACTATGTATACTTCTGTGTTTCTACATGAGATTTATTAATATTACCAAATTCATCAACGTAAGAATTACTCTTCATTATTATACTGCATATGTACTGTAATATTGTGTGAAAACGGAGTAATATTAAAAAATAAAAAACAAAAAGAATATATAGCATTTCCTGTATGTTTGAAGGAAATATCACATCACAGTTTAAGCTAAAAAGTCTCTGTTGCCAATCATAGTTTTCTAATTATAATTCACAAAACAATTTGACACTCAGTTGCACTGTGGTAGCAATGCACAAACTTGAATTTTATTTTAAGATTATTGACAAACCATAAGCTAAAATTGGAGGATTTAATCCTGAAATTTCATCTTATAGCCTAGGACTGAGGTGTGTATCCTGTGATTTCCAGTGCACTGAATTATACTGTGTCAAGAGATGTACAAACCTAAATGCAGAGGGAAGGAGCACCAGGGGCAGGCAAAGAAGGGCATGGGGAGAGGTTGCAAGAGCCAGATAAGACAATGTGCAGCATTAGAACTGTAATCAGGTAATCCCGGTTAACCCGTGCAAGTGTGTAAAATTGTCATAAAACATTGATGATGATTATGATGAAGATGAATTATCTACAACAAAGCCCACCATGTCAAGGTATGGGGAAAAAGAGGGACCCATGAGCTTGATGGCTTGTTAAGTGTAGTGTAAATGCAAGTACAAGTACAGTAATACCTTGGTTTACGCGGGTTTCGTTTACGCGTTCTGTCATTTACGTGGTACCCTGCCAGAACCAGAATGCCCAATTTACGCGGTGCATCTACTCATATACACGGAGAGCGGCTGAAAGTCCTGCCGTGCCGCCATTTTGGATTCAAACCTTGATTTTTTCGTAACCTAACCTAACCTTACGTAAGTGTTAAACCTTGATTTTTTTCTAAACTAACCTAATCTGACATAAGTGTTAAACCTTGATTTTTCTTTTACCTGGTACAGTATATTATTCTCTTATTGATATTTCTCTTCTATATTATGTGTGTGTGCATACCATCATAAAGTTAAGATACTATTTTTACTACAACGTAGGTATTGTGTCTGAAAAAGTGGAGTTTGGGGGTCGGCCCAGTCTCTATTTCAATTAATCCCATATGTTCTGTTATTCCATTTACGCGCTTCTCATTTTACGCGCTACTCCGCGGGTTCAATTGACCGCGTAAATTGGGGTATTACTGTACACTGTATACTAAGCTTTTGGTGAGCATGGAGGCAGTTTGGCTGGTGCAAGACATTATTCATTGAAGCAATGCAATTCCCCTACTTTAATTTCTTACAAAATCACTCACAGTATGTGTTAGTACTTAGAAATAACACATAATTGTGTTCTGCATATATTTATAAATATTAAGATAATTACCAGTATACAGTTTTATGAACACACAGATATCATGTTTAACATATTTATACTGTAAGATGTACAACGATATCTTATGCCCCTGGAAGTGACCTGCACAACACTGTCATCAGCCAGGCACTGCAAGCAACCAATAATTGCAAAGATCTCTTCCCTGTACTTTTTGTTCTGTATTTTCACAATTTCTTAGTGTTCTACTGTATTAGTGTGAAAACATATAAAGAGTTAACACTCAAATAAGAGCAAAATGAAGGAAAATGGGGGGTGGGGGAAAACAGACTGCACTCGAACTAAGAATTTGTTTGTTTTTCATTTACAGGTACCCCTTGCTTTACAATAGTTCACTTAGCGATTTTTTGGTTTAGCGATTTAAAAATTTCAGCACCCTTTCTCGGTTAACAATCATAAATTTTTGGTTTAGTGATCTTCGACTCACTGGGAAAAAATCGGGAGGGAAATCGGAATAACTGGGGATTCTATGCTCCAAGTGTGCATCATTACAATACAGTACTGTAATGTGGCTTAGAAATAAAGAAAATATTGTACTGTATACAGTACAGTATTTTAAAATAATAGTAAATTAAATAATACAGTAATAAATAAATGTAACACTTGCATTGTTAGGCAAGGTGATAACATAATGATATTCCAAAAGTGTAATGGTCACACTGGTAAATGAAGTAAAAACCTACATTGGAGAAATAAAAGATGAAATCTTGGAGTTGGTATACTAGGACCCTCTTCAGCCAACTAACAGTACAAAGTAAGGGATAAGACAGAACAAAGAAGATCAGGTCATGTGAACTGTGTCCTGAGTTGAGGTACAGTAAGGTGGGGGATTAGGGATAATTTTCTTGATGACAGTACATGTATTCAGGATCAGGTCCGGGGTCCACTGACCTGATCCTGAAAACTGTCATCAAGAAGATTACCCTTAATCCCCACCATTACCTCAACTTAGGAGACAGGTCATGTGACTGGATTCCTTTGGGATATCATAAAAGTAATGGTATATTAACTGTGCATCATTTCAAATATTTGTACAGTACATCACTCAAAACCTACTCTCAACTGTGTCATTGTACCAAAACAAGTTTTGTATCCAAAGGTCTTCTATTTATTTATTTATTTTTTTAGAAAACTTAACTTTGATGGTTTTAATATATTTTAAAATACAAATATTATCACTCCCTACGCTTGTGTAGGTTAGCCACCATTACGTATGAAAAGTTGAACAAACTACTGTATAATATCAACTTGACTCCTTACACACCAGTGGTTCTTAACCCCTGGATTGTGACTCAAACTGGGTTACTAAGCCATTTAGAGATGGGTTGACAAGGGTCTCCTGTGACTTTAAACTTTCATTTGGAATCCAATAGTGGCTACCCTAATGGAGTCTTCAATGTCAACAAGGTGTTCAAATTAGGCGCTTTTTACATCACTAGTTTTCTTATCACTCACTGGATGGAGTTCTCATTTGCTCCTGGGGATCTAGAACTGTGATTGGTTATTAATGATATCACTGTTACACCAGCCAGCTTGACTACCAATGGATTTGTAACTCAATCGTGAATGTGAGCAGCTGGCCCGAAGTAGTGTCAGAAAAACATACAGTATAATGTAAATTAATAGTGATTGTATTTCACATGGCATTAGATACTGTCAACATAATGAATAAGAATGAAAACTACAATAAGCTTTTCACACCATTGTTAAGGTATTTGTGAAACTTGCTGCTCTCGACACGGTGTATTTCGTCTACAGACGACATCGCTAAGAAGTTGATCATAATACTTTGTGAAATGATACAGGTCTTGCATGTATCTATTATGTGTTGAAATACATCAAACAGAAGGTGATTGCAGCAATAAAAACGAGTGGGCAATTTTGTCTTCAGCTGAATGAATCTACTGATTTCAGTGACAATGCTCATCTCATGGCATACATATGCTATCATGGAATGAAAGATACAGAAGTTTATATTTTCCCTATCATTCCTCACTACCACAAACAGACAGGATATTTTCAAGGTGATGAATTTATTCTGGGGATTTAAAAAAAAACACTACTCTCATTTTGTCAAAATGTAGCCAGGTTACATGAAAAGATGCATGGACACAGGAAATATTAATACAGTAGTGTATACTGGACATGAATGACCAGTGAGCACAGTGTTAAATGTGTTTGGGGAATGACTGTACTACTGATGGGTGATGATAGGTTGTGTGAGGCAACAGATTGATAATTTGAAATCTGCTTGTAGAAGGGGATACCATAGAATTAATGAACAATATCAGATGAAGGAATATATGTATAAGTTTGGTCTTGATTCCAGTCATATCTGTACCTTTGTGAAAAAAATGTAAATCGTACAAAATATATGTTGAGTGTGTGCAAGTAAACCTTCTAAAATAAGAAACATGGTCCAGTTTCATAGACTTATTTTAAGACTGCTAGTAAAAGGAAGCCCCTTAGCTAAACAATATGTAATTGAGGGTACGCTTTCAAAAATATTTTAATAAAATGCATTAAGTACTTTGTTTCTCAGGTTAAAAGTGAATGGCAACTAGCAAATATAATTTGGGGGCTGCCACCACTGAACCACTGCTCCCAGGTCACAGTAAATTATGTGTCCGTAGTTGCTATGGACACACTTGCCCAGAACAACTAAAAATTAATTTGAGCTGCCTAACCACCAGAGAAAGATGGCAAATCATGTAGTCCTCCCCACACATATATATATATATATATTTTGTATATACTGTATTCAAAAAAAATTAATATTCTAAAATAAAATTATTATTCTTATAATTTATTGTAGGCATGCATATACTACTTGAGTCTTCAGTTTTTACCAACAACTTCCAAGGAACTCCTGCATTCCTTGAAAATTTAGGTACACTAAAATATCGCAATAAATAAGTGACTTTTGCATGTAAGCCATCAAACCCCACATAATATTATGAGAGTTTATGACTGGTTAATGAAGCTAACATACACCCTGTGAGTGAATATCACCCATACTGATGTACACTAAATACAATTCGCTAAGCATTACCATGCCTGGTAATTTAGATACTGTACTTCTTATTTATTCAACAATATCTACTGCAACTCATCTTCCAGCCAGCCAGGCACTGGGTAGTCAAGGCGGGTAAGTAACTTCTCCAGGGCTATGTTGTATGGCTGGTAGTACTCCTGTTGAACAGAAACATATGTTAATATCCTCTAGACATGGCTACAGAATGTATCAATAGTGTCAGTATTCTACATAAAAAAACAAATGCAAGGAGGCAGCATGGTTGGCAGACTGGGAAGATTTAAATAACCTGGCAGCCTGGATTAGCCCAAATATATACTGTACTGTAGTTGGGCAAGTGTTTTTTAAAGTTCATGTGCCTTGCAGTTGTCCAGCAGACATGCAGTTTTTTAACACCATAGAAACGTTCAAAGGAATAAACTCAGAAATAATGGACATGAAAGCTGCAATTTCCATGAGACAGCCATTGTGGAAGGATAGTTCAGTAATACAATATTAAGGGCACTACTCACACTTTGTTGGGTAACAACAATAAACAATTAAAGGAGGTGAAGATCAATGGAATAGGCAAGTTGAACTTTTTTTAACCCAGAGGGAGCAGTGGTCCACAAACTAGATAAGGGGAGGGAGAGCGACACACTGAGGGACATAAGTGACCTGAATAAAACTGTGAATGTGAAGCAACTTACAAACTTTCATAGATACAATCAAAGCTGGCTGCAAATCCAATTTGGCGCAAGGCAAGTGTGTCTGCAGACGGAGGGCGTCAGTGGGAGCAAGCGGGTAGCACGGCCGTTTTGCTGTTACTTTCATGCTGATCGGTCATCACTTGTATATTTGTGGTTATTTTTTAGCCATTTAAAATGCTATTAACTCTCCATCATGTACAGAAAATGCAAGAGCAGTGAGGGGGTTGAAAGTGCTGTCAAGAAAGGTGTGTTATTACTATGGAAACAAAACTGGAGATTATAAAGAAAGTTGAAAGTGGTGGGAAAATCACGAATGTAGCCCGTGCTTATTCCATGAATCATTCAACAATTGGAACAATTATCTAGGAAGAAGAGCGAATCATGGAACATGTGAAAAGAGCTGTGCCTATTAAGCCCACAATTATTAGCAGAAGAAGAGGACAAGTGACTGAGGAAATGGAAAAACTGTTGCGTGTGTGGCTGAAGGATCAGCATCAACGTTGGATCCAATTAGCCTTATGTTAATTAATGAGAAGGCTGAGAGATTGTTTGATGACATAAAGGCTAAACATGGTGAAAGTGCTGCTGAAGAAACTTTTGTTGCTAGCCATGGATGGTTTCATAGGTTTAAGGCTCGCTCAAATTTGCACAACATCAAGGTAAATGGAGAGGTGGCTTGTGTGAATACCATTGCTGTTAGGATTTTCCCCAAGACACTTGCTGAGATCATCAATAAGGGAGATTATCAGCCCCAACAGGTTTTCAATGTTGACAAAACTGGTCTTTTTGGAAAAAGATGCCAGAGAGAACCTGCTAAGCGCTCCTCAACAGCTGATCTTGAACCTGCCACCACGCACTTCAGTTAATCACAATTTTATGTCATACAATAAAACCTACACTTAATAGTCAGGTACAGGTATTACCTATTATTATTAAATAAATATAATGTAGTGTATTGTCTTTAATGGGGATACTGTACAGGGGTCTAATCAGATTTGATATAGGCCTAATGAGAGCTAACAGGTATGAGGCCTTGCCCCGTTCACCACTGTTTTTATTTACCTGTATTCATATTATATATTCTCGTATGATCAGCCTCATATGATGTTTGTTTCATAACTAAAATAACATATTTAAATAATCCCTGTACAAAAAAATACAACACTGTATAGTTAGACTTCAAAATAAAATGACAAGCTGTACTGTATTCACATACAATCTCTTCACTGACCAGTTATCCCAAGGTCTATCAATAGACCTTGAGTCATTCCTCCCTCCATTACCCTCCATAAAGGAAGGAAGGATGGAGGGGGAGGGAGGGTTGTGACAGGCCATGCCAGATTTGTCAGATTGATTTTATTTACAGTATTCATTATCATATTCTCGTATGGTTAGCCTCTTATTTAATATATTCTATCATTGATAATATAAATTATTAAATACTATAGAAAATTTTGATATATAATTAGCAATTTGACATCATAATTAAATGGCAAGCTGAATTTAAAAGTAATCTTTCCCCCGACCTCCGTAGAGGAGGGGGGTGGGGGTAGCACTGACCAATGCAGAGTTCCCTCTCCCCTTTTTTTATTAATTAATTCATTACAGACTAACACATTATAAAAAATAAGTGCTACTTTCTTTTTTGCCCGATACGCCCCATTGTGGGTCGATGGCCTTCGCCCGGGTGGGCTATTCTCCATAAATAAATAAATAAAAATATATATATTCTTGACTTTTAGTGTAAGGACAGTGGGCAGTTCCAATATGGTCTACTCACCTGTATTGGACATGTCCATGACTTGTTACTAGTGAACCCCCTGTGAACCTATAGACACTTAAGACTCAGGAGTTATTTGTCATTATGTACTCTTGCTCGCTCCCGCTTGCAGTGTACCTCACCCTGTCCATCCTTGCTTCCTCCATGTTACCATGATTGACCAAGAAGGGAACACTCATGGGCCTCACGACAAAAGAACTGGGAAGTGTCAGGCCATCTCCTATGCCACCAAAGTCAAAATTTTGAAGGAACTTGAAGCTGGGATGAGGATATGTGACATGGCAAACCCTTATAAAGTCAACGAATTCACCATCAGAACTGTCAGTAAATACCGGGAGAAAATATTGTCTTCTGTCAACAACACCCACTCGGAGATTCAGAAGTCTGTGCTTGTTAACCAAAGTTGTTCTCGAGTAATGATTTGGCGAGTCTATTAAACATCCACAACATCTCCATTACACACCCACATCATCTCCACTAGACACCCACATAATCTTCATTACACATCCACATCATATCCACCAAACCCTCTACTGAATCCCTCCTCAAATATCTTAAGTTATTCATAAACTAGTAAAGATAAATTACAGTAAATAAATAATTAAAATAATAATTAAAAGTAAAAGTGCCATGGTGATAACACGTATATCTAGTCTCACCTTCAGTAACTTTGCATCAGATTCATTCATGGCAGGATAGATCCTACCCTTTCCCCTCCCCAGACACTTGGTCTTGTCTTCTTCTATTACTTGGCAAAAGAAACCTTTCCTCTTGTCAAATCTGTAAATATATAATGCAAATATTACCATCTATATTTATTTAAAACAAAAATTATTAAGAGTGCAAATAATTCATGTAAATATCACACCAAATGGCTTATTGTGATGGAAAGATCATAGTGAATGAGTCTGACACACCATGAATAAAATTCATATAATATGGCTAATGACAAAGAACAATTTTAATCTTATAATGGAAAAATGCACAGTAGGCAGATAATTATATAAAACTGAGTGTTATGTCCATAAATCAACTTACCTGTAACCAATATCTAAATATATAGTATTTGTACCTTAAGTGCTCAGTATAGTTGTAAAATGGTTCAATATTGAGGAATTTTTGAAGATCATTCATGATGTAGATTGGGTCATTTCTCAGCTCCTCTCCATCAATGATGGTTACTTGTGAGGCAGGAAAAAAGTCTAGCCATCTTTCTATATGCTTGGCATACATCCCAGGTATCAAGCATCTGCAGAGTAATTAAAAAATATACTTAGAAATAAAATACATCCACCTGTGACTATGTGTACAATACATGATTAACAAATGGTTCTTACAGTAGTTCTACTTTCATTAACTCATTTTCTCAAACTTTATCCACCCAGGCAAGTGTGGAAAATAGGTGTAAGACTTTGATGATATTGATAATGATGATGACTCTTTCTATAACTCTCCCAGTCTCTTTTTCCTATTGCCATTAATTTCTAACCTTGCATGCATGGATAATCACTTGGTTGAATCAAATTGGTTGAACACTGAACTTGTACCTGTATGACAATTTTAAATGATTTTAAACAAAAATATTGATCTATCATATTCAAACTACAATAAAGGCTTTTTTATCCAGCATTTAATTAATCAGAAAGTTCATATAGGCTGTTGGAGAGCAGTATGTGAGAAATAACCTTAATAATGTGGTTGTTGATAATGAAGAAATCAAGGACTCGTGAAGAAAATAATGTGACTGACTACTAAAAGAGTATGAATGGGACAGGGGCAGCTTAGGAGTAGCAGAACCAGAGCAAGAAACCATGTCCAAGAATTGAAAGAAAATGGATGAATAAATCTACTAACAAAATGAAGAATAGAAAGGTAGCTGGAAGCTCTGAAATATACATAGAAATGCTGATAGCATCAGTTGATGGAGGCATGTCAGTGGTAACCAAATTGATTAATGAAATCATCAGGGAATGTACAGTACTGTTCCACACAACTGGCAGAAGTGTGATCACAATTACTTAAAAGGGTAAAAGTGATGCACTTGAGCAGCAAAACTACAGGGGCCTAGTTATGAAAGCTGTGGAAAGAGTATACAGTACAGTAATTGAAAATTCACCAAGGAGAGAGTGGAAATAAACAAAATGAAACTTCAGTTCATGCCAGGTATGGGGGACTTCGGAGGCAATATTTAAATACAACAGTGTATGTTTTTAATGTTTCATTTCTAATTGAAGCATTAAATAGTTTTATATGCTTCATTAAATAAATTTTTAAGTTTAATAATAAAAGAAGACAATGGTTCAGCCAATAACATCTACATTGCACAGGTATGATTCACGACACTCCGTGAATAACCTTGAGTTTGAACAACTGCAGTCAAGGATACAGTTGTTCAGACTCAAGGTGAGTAATAAGTTAATAACAATTTTGAAAAAATGGAATTAGTGGTGAAATAAGAAAAAAATTAATGTCTTAATGAATTTTCTAACATACTGTCACAGTCATAAGTAATCATCCACCCCTCCTACTATCATACCAGGGAGCTCAAGGACTTTCTACACAAATGGTCACAAGAGGGTGGGGGAAGTATTGATGAGGGTAGAGGTATTAATGGGGTAGAGCTAGAGGTGACAGGCCCGGGCAAAGTAGGAGGGCCCAAGTGTATGTGGTCTTAGAATTATCCTTAACACCTGACAAAGGTGTTAAGGTTGGTGGCTGTAGCTTGACGTTGACGGCCTTAATGACCCTGGCAGTTGATAGGCCTAAAGCTCAAACAAACCAACCAACCAGGAGAGCAGGTGTCTGGGAAGGTGTCATATGAACTTAACTTTCTCTTAGTTAACTATACTTTTACTCAAGATTCGGGGGAGGAACGCAAATGAGCTTTTGGCAGGTAATGAACTATTAGGATTGATAATGCATATGGCTTCAGTGAGGGAAAACCCCTGATATGACAACATAGGAGAAGAGGGGCATAGTCTGCTCACCACCAGTAACACTAAATGAGGCTGTTACTTGATCCCTTCCAACTCGGCACTACTGCTCTTGAAAAAAAATAAAAAAATAAGAATGAATTATTGGACAGAATGTGACTTGTCCACCTTGTAGTATGTTTATTTAAGATGTAAAAATCAATGTGAAGTGATGAGGTGGTAGTTGCAATGGTGTTTGGCCACTCCTCCACACCCAGCCCAGAATGGACACTAAAGTACGTCGATTGGCAAGTCATGAGCAAATTATCGGTTTGCATGCGACTGGCTACATGATGGCAGAAATTGCAAGGGAGGTTGTGACAGATGGACAGGAGGTCTTGTTCAGAGCTAAGGTGGTGGTTCAGTGTTAAATGGCATTGGCAAAATTCCTCCTAGAGGTAGGTTGTGATGGTTTGGGCATGTGGAGAGAATGGCTGAGACCAAATGGGTCCAGAGGTACATGAACCTAAATGTGAAAAGGGAGAGAGCCAGGTGTAGGTCAAGAATGACACAGGAAGAGGTTGTAAGAGACTGCAGCATGGAGAGCTGCCATCGGGTAATCATGGCTATTCCATGCAAGCATGGAAAATGGCTGTAAAACATTGATAATAATGATGATGAAGATTCTGGTTACGAATTAACCCCCTTTGGACATATTCTGCAACAAAAGTGATCGGGATGACCTGAAAAATTAAATATGGTGAGATAGATAGATATGATTTTGATTTTACAAACACTCTAATTACAGAATTTCATGGGACAATTATTGCTCAAACTGATCAATCTAAAACTTGCCAAACAATTATGGATAAAGCCCAGGGAAATATATGAGGCAACCAGCAACAACTAAAAAGCTACTTCCACACACTATACTTACTTGTTGCGCAAAGTCCTGAGTTGTCGTGGTGCCTTGTCTGTTGCTGTGATGACCTCATGGAAATTATACTGTAGGGATGTGAGATCATTGTGGGCACGCATGTGATGATACCAGGAGTATGCTCGCTTGCTCGGAGGAATGATTGTAATCACCTGAAGGCACAACACAAGTCAATTGTAGGATCTCTGCATAAATCCCTTCACATAATACAAGAGACAATAGTAAACCAATATTCTACTTTATGCTGGTGACATACCATTACCCAATTATATACCGGTAAATAACAAGTACAGGTACTGTATTTCTGTCAGAAGAAAGTGTTCTGTAAATCTTAAATTCTGGGAAAAAACCAACACCTTGCCAAACTCAAGTAGTTGTGCAGACAACAATGCTTAACATGATAACTAAATGTATACATGAGTGTGTTTTAAAGCATATTAGAAAATGTAAATTAATTGAGTACTGCATAGTCATTTTTATCATCAGCCATTTTCCACGCTTGTAAGGGTTTGCTGTAATTACCTGATGGCAGCTCCCCTTGCTGCAAAGTCTCTTATGGTCTCTATTGTCAGTTTCTTAATATATAACATGAGACAAACAGAAAAGAGAGACAAAGAAGTAGAAAATGTTTGTAAAATAAACAAATTGTCTCTGACAGGATGTATGCTGGCTGTTGAATGGGGTTCTGGATTAAAATGGATTATTATTTCTCAGAGGATCCACGATAATACCACATCTGCTTTGTCTTATTGCTCATTCAGACTGTAAATAAGAAAAAAATCTAATACTTACCTTCAACAAAAATAAACAATTCCATATTAGTTCAATCTACACTCTTCTTAAAATTATGGTATATGCCAAATTTTACTACAGGTATTCTATATTCCTTAACACTCTTGGGTTTAGGGAGGTGGTCTCCAGCGAGACGCTCGGAGTCTGGCTGTTTACTCACCTCACTGCACATGACTGCACCACACAAGAGATAATTGTACATAATGAGTCATAGCATGATTGCCATTTGAGATAAAGGTAGGGTTTGTTGCATTGTAAATAAATTATCTACAAACACTTTTATATGAGTAATCACGAGAAAAAAAAATCTATACATAAGTGAGTGTAGAACACAAATTTTTTTTTTACACTTAATGAAAATGTTTATACATCACTTTATACCTCTGTTACTTCATGTGATTGCAATATAAACCTTATTCTTTACATATTTAACAAAAAATAGTTATAGAAGAAAAGTTGTGAAAAAATTTATATTTTGCTAGGAAATATTGGTGTAATTTGTGCATTCTGATGAACGCTCCCACGCTGAGTACAGGTTATTAATTTTTTCCGTCCAAGCACAAAAAATAATTGTAGATATTGAGTCATAGAAAGCTTACTATTGGAAATAAAAAGGTTGGGTTTGTTGCATTAGCTTTGTAAATACATTATCTACAAATAGTTTTATATAGGTAATCACGATAAAATTATTAAATCAATATGTAAGCATGAGTACAACACAAATTGTAGTGCATGGATGCCACTCAAGCTCCCAAATGCGAATATTCCTCCCTCAAAGGTTTTATATTTTTTACATAACTTATAGCTACATAATGTGTTTATAATGCTTATTATTATTCAAAATTCATATGAAATAACAATTGTAAATTATTGGTTAAATATAATACATACAAATATTATTATTATTTTTTTTTAAATAAATGAATTTCTGTGCTTATACTTAGCCTGAACAAGGCGACTAAGTCTAGTTTTAGTGAGAGTACGGGTAGTGCACACTTGTGAGGGAGATGAGCAGACACGAGGAAAGTCATGCTGCAATGGCTGAAATGCCACATGTCCAACACTTTTTTTTCCTTTTAACTACAACGACATGCCAGGCAATTCCTTTCTCATTAGGACTGCTTGTTGAAGGGCCAGATAAACTATCACTTGCACTAGAAGGGCCAGGAACACTGTAAGAGGCCTCAGGAGGCACCACATTATCACCATGTGGTGTAATCTCCTTGTACTATTTACGTTTTCCCTCCTGTCCATCTTCGCCGCCAGCAACACGAGGCATGCTTCAAAACTATCACAACACTGTTATCAATAAATAAAATCACTGTGATGAACGAGAAATCAGCACAAGCCATGAGAAAATGGTGGTAAATGTATGTCAAGGTTATGTCTAGTGCCGCTGAACCACATAGGACGACTGGTGTAGTCACTCATATAACCTTGGAGGCAATCTACAGTTGGTAACAGATCACACCGTTGCCAAAACGTGCGTCTTGCATATCTAGCGTTCATATGCAAACATAAAATTATTTTATTGTAATTTTTTAGTTCAGACGCAAATTTGTGTATGAAAACCCTAAAGCAATAATTTAAATCATATGCAAATTTGCACATGAAAACCCCAAGAGTGTTAACATAATTAATTCAGAAAAAGGGTACGGTAAATAAGAAAGTAACAGAACACCCACCAGCTTCACATGAGGTAGAAGAGCCTTCACCCTGTTTGGCACTGTCTCCCCTTCAAAGTATGTGGCACTCTTCTCAAACAGAAACTTGCTAGAAGAATTTGCTGGAACTGGAAAGAACTTCATGTACCTGTTAAAAAAAGATGAATTAGTATTAGTGATGCATCATCCTCCAGTTCAACTACACGTACTACTGTAGGGTAATACAGTGACCCCTCCATTAACGAACTCAATCCGTTCCAGAAGGTCGTTCGTTAACCGAAAAGTTCATTAACCGAAACCATTGTTTCAATGGGTTTTTGGGTAATTGGTTCCAGCTCACCGAAAATTTTCTAACTTCAACAAAAATGGCAGAAAAATTTACTTACTTTGAGGTGTGTATGTAGAAGGCTCCTGGATGATGATGATGATGTGCATTTGAAGTGGGAGGTGGAGGAGGAGAAGGGAGAGGAGAAGGAAGTGGAGGTGGAGGAGAAGCATTTTACTGCTTCTCGGAAGGTGAGTCACCTTCCATGAAAATGTCAGGAACCTCTGGACTGACAGATTCTCCACCATGAACATCCTCTCTCCTTCTTGAAGTGGAAGGCTGAGGGCTAGCATCATCCTCTCTCCTTCTTGAAGTGGAAGGCTGAGGGCTAGCATCTTGTTCCCTCTGCCTTTTACTGAAGAAAGTGTCAATTGTGGTCTGTGGGGCACCTGTCCTCCTCACCATTAACTTATGTTTAAAGAAGGAGACCACTGAGTCTTCAACATGACACAAAGTTAGTTCAGTTTTTTCCACTTCTGGGTACTTTGAAGCCAGTTCCCTGAACTTCTCCCAGTAGTAAATCACATCTTTCATCTCTTTAGCTGACATATGGTCATCACTTTCAATTTCCTCCTCACCACTGTCAGCTTCTACCCGTAACATCTCATCCAGTTGCTTCAAGTCATCAGGAGTAAGTTCCTCCTCATGAGACATCACAAGCTCTTCCACATCCTTCTCCTCCATTTCAAGGCCCAATGACTGACCAATGGACACAATCTCTTGGTCCAACTCTGTTTCTTCCTCAAATCCCTCAAAATCATGGACTACTGATGGCCACAGTGCTTTCCATGAAGAATTGAGGGTTCTATTGGAGACTTCTTGCCATGATGACACAATCAATTTTACAGCCTCCAGGACGTTGAATTGTGTCTTCCAGAACTGTTTCAGTGTTAGTTCAGGATCAGTGGAAGTTGCCTGATGACACCTCCTAAACATTTTCTTCATGTACAACTTCTTGAAGTTGCTGATTACATTCTGGTCCATTGGCTGTATGAGTGATGTAGTGTTTGGAGGCAAAAACAACACTTTCACAAAGTCAAATTGATACTCCAAATTACTGGCAAGGTCAGGGTCATGACCAGGAGCATTATCCATGAGGAGAAGAGCCTTTAAAGGAAGTTTATTGGTGGTTAGGTAGCTCTTGACAGAGGGGCAAAACACATCAACAGCCCATTCATTAAAGAACTGTCTTGTCACCCATGCCTTACGGTTGGACTTCCAATAAACTCCAAGCTTTGTTCTTACCACTTTCTGTTGCTTGAACACCCTGGGGTTTTCAGAGCGGTAGACAAGCATAGGCTTCAGTCGGAAATCCCCTGAAGCATTGGCACCAAGCAATAGAGTGAGACGGTCTTTCATGGGTTTATGCCCAGGTAAAGAGGCTTCATCTTTGGTGATGAATATTCTTTTGGGCATCTTTTTCCAGAACAGCCCAGTTTCGTCCACATTGAACACTTGCTGTGGAAGATAATTTTCTTCTTCCATCAGTTTTTTAAATTCAACTAAAAACTTTGCTGCCCCTTCTTTATCAGCACTAGCAGCTTCACCATGCCTAACAACACTTAAAATGTCACTTCTTTTCTTAAATTTTTCGAACCAGCCTTTGCTGGCCCGAAAATCTTCAAATTCTGTTCCTGAAGAACCAGGTTGATCTGCCTTTAAATGTTCATAAATCTCCCTGGCTCTTTCACAAATGAAATCACCAGAAACTGAATCACCTTTCATCTGTTTTTCCCTAATCCAGATGATAAGTAACCTCTCAGTTTCTACGATTAGGGATCTACTTTTAAACACTCTTGTAGATTTGTCTCTCACGTTCACTTCCTTAAATTTGTCTTTTTGTGCAAGAATTGTCGACACAGTTGATGCCGACATGCCATATTCTTTGCATAGCGCATTTGATTTAATGCCTTGTTCGTGTTTTTTTATTATTTCCTGCTTTATTTGGATTGAAATTGCTTTTCTTGATCTCTTAGGCCCCATGCTGGATTCAAACAATGGCAACACGTATTTTTCAAAGTTAAACTAGCTGTAAATAAAGAATATTTTCTTTAAAATAACACTGCACTGCACTATATATTGTCAATATGTAAAATAATTTTCAAAATGACCAATAATTTGCTTGGAAACAGAAAAAAAGCATTTAGTTGAAGAGAGTCTCAAGCAAGATGTTACCTCCAGTGAAAACAGAGAGAGACTAACGCCTGTTTGCTGTATTACGAGGCTGGATGCCGCGCATTAAACTAGTCACTTTACCTTCAATTTTGTTCAATAATTGTTAAAATGACTAAAAAATTGAATATTAAACTTTTAAAATTATTGAATAGTATAAACTTCTTGATATTTACTAAAATAGTAAGGAATTTAAGCCCTAGAACCGATTAATGTATTGGCGGACTGATACTAAAGCTGGTTGCCCGGTCAGTGCAAGCGAAAACATGTTGAGGTCGGTTCGTAAGAACTTCGTTAAGCGAAATTTTTTTCGTTAACCGAATTGAAGATCCTTATGGAAGACAGTTCATTAATCGAAATTACGTTAACCGAGGTGTTCGTTAAACGAGGGGTCACTGTATATTACAGTTACTTCATCAGCTTCTTACGAGGAGGAAAATACATAATGTACACTTTTTTTAAATAAGTAGTGTTATTTGTAATATAAAGCAATAATATCCCAACAATTTTAAACAATTAAGCTAGGGTGAACTGTGCACTTGACCCAAGACCCACTCTATATATATATACAGTCTATGTTTTTGATTAAGTTCTTGCTTGGTCCTTCTGCAGTTGCAACACGCTACCTGACCTAATTAACATTAAAGAAGCACATCAGCTAATTCATATTCTACAAGTAATTTGAATGGGGTAGAGCCCGGAGAATGTCAAATTGTTGAGTTTAATTTTTTCTTTTACCTGTCATATCCACAACAAATTCTATTAAAATTGTGTTAGTACTGTATGTCTTAAAGGCTTCAAATTCCTGGATGTCAAGGGTGACAACAACCCGAGAGCCAGACAGATTAATATTAATCTATCCTTATCCTAGGTTTTGTGTAGTATGAGATATAATTATAAAAAACAAAGAAATGAAAACAAAAATTAATATGGGCAAACTTACCAATCAATTCCCTTATAGTAATTTTTTCCATTGAAAAATTGGACTTCCTCAAAAGTTTCAGGAGATGGATAGTTGGCAACAATGGCAGAATGCATAGCCAGAAAGGTATAGAGAGCTGTTGTTCCTGTTTTCTGTGGGCCAATAACCAGGAACTTAGGCAGCTGCTCGCAAGACTTATTCTTTGCCCATATCTCAAGATGCCGATGGTCTGCACACGGGTACTGCAATGAATGTAACATTAAATTTATCTATAATTAATCAATAGACTATGATTACAATCTTTGTGAAGATACACCTCTCTTTTTCCACTTTCAAACCATTTTCTACTTGATACAGAGTGTCCAGAATCAAGGCACATGCAAGCACAAACTTTCCCTCCCTTTGCTGTCATTAATTCTTACTGCTGTGAAGATGTGTTTGCAGTGTTATTTATTCCCTTTCTACAACAAGGCCCTGACACTGGTTCAGTTGTTCATCCGTCATTTCACACAATTATTATTATCTATCGGCTATATATCTTAAAATAATTACAATTCTTTAAAATGCAGACCTTTACTATTGGAACAACATGTTTTCTTTAATTCTGATAACTATGATGAATCTGCTTTGTACCACAAAAACACACTCACTAACCGCTTCCCTTGTTTACACCCCTTTTCAATACTGAAGGCCCAACTCACCCCCCATATGGGATCTCTCTCTTCTGGAAAGAGATGGAAGTATTTCTCTCCAAGCTGAAGTGGCGGCACAGTACGCAAGTTGAGGTTTGTCCAACACTTAACAAACTTGATAACAGACTCAAATGTATAGAGGGCCAACCGGTCATTCCCATAGTTACTTAGATGAGTCATGAAGATGCTGACCTGTAACATTGCCAATTGTGTTAACTTTGTGGATTACTAAAATTCTAAAGTAAAAATAAAGATGCTAAATATCAAATATTTTATAAATACCAGTTTTTACCTCACACCCCAAAATTTGGACTTTTGTATGAATTAACAAAATTAATTTAATTGGAAATAATCCCTTTAATAATAGGCAGTTTTGTTTTCATTGACCCTTCAAAAAATATATAAAATTTGGGATCCACAATGATACAAGAGGTTTACTCTGAGAAGTATTTAATAACACAAGAGAACTGTAGAAGTTAATAAGTATTATTGGTGGGAGAATATCCATCTACAGAAATTAAGGAATTTGGTGGAGTAAACAAGACATCTTTGGGGCATTGTGGAATTAAGGCCACTGAGAGAATGCCAATGTACTTATAATCTTCTCTCTTGATAATTTTTTTAAAGTTTATGAACCTCAGACCAGAGTAAAGTTGATATATTGATAGATATGGGCACAGGGTGTGACTATTTAGAGGTCTGACATACTACAGTAGTTGTTACAATAAGCCAAAATTATAGTCATATTATGCTGTCTTTTAATGGTTTAATATGAGGTCCCATTAAAAATATACAATAAACTCCTTCTAACCTGGAATTGCTTAATCCAGATTCCTTTGCAAGCCTGACTAGGGTTTAGCACCAGGGAGGGAGGGACGTTCTTAAGTTGGAGTTGTATGTATATGTCGGAACACATGCTATGTGCATACCGTACTTATAGAACTATGTTTAAAATCCCACTATATCATAGCCTAAGTCCTTATATACATCTAAAATCACTTAATTTAAGACAAAAGAAGAAAAAGAATGACAAAATACTGTAAATGAAAGTAAAAAAAAGTAAGCGATCAGGTAAATAAAATACTGTAAATTTCAAGTTTCACCCCGTTTGTATCGGCAGGCATTTGTAAGTCGGACGTTCATAAGTCCCATTATCATTATCACCATTTTACATTAATTTTCTACAATTACATAGGTTAGCCGTGAACACCTGATGGCAGCTCTCCACACTACAATCTCCTGCAGTCATTTATGTCAGGTTCCTAACTCTAATGAGACTCATTTCTTACAACCTCTCCCCATGTCAACCTTGGCCTACCCGTGGCACTCCATCCCTTCACATTTAGGCTCATGCACTTCTTGACCCAACTGGTCTTATCCATTCTCTCCGCATGATCAAACCATCTCAGACTACCTTTATGCAAAACTTTGCCAATACGTACAGTACTCTCAATACCCAGCTGCCTCTTTCAGTCTCACATTACACATCCACCTCACCTTTCACATTTCAGCTTGCTGAAGTCCACTTAGGTCATCCTCTTTAACTTCCATATTTAACTGCCACAATACTATCACACTTTTCACACCAGTCGCATACATTGCTATCCATAAAGGCAGCAGCTGCCTAAACTTCATTTAGCCACATTGGTAATGATCATGTCACCCAGGAAACAGAACTCATTGACACAGTCCAGGGATATATCCCCAATGTTGAGTTTCTCCAGCTTTGCTGTGGAAACAAGGTTATTTGAGCATACAAAACATTTATAGTCTGCAACATCCTGCAGTTTGCCATTTACTCCACTGCACCTCTTGTGCACCTATCATCCACACTCATTGCGTGTTACCGAGTTGCTGCTAACACCTTCATCACAGACAGCACATGGCCATTTTCCACTTTCCACCATGGGTCTTTCAACTGCACCACGAATCTTTATTTTTGTTTTTGCCACATTAATTTCAGGCCCTTCGACTCTAATCCATCCTAAAATTTCTCCTTTGCTCCTTCAATACTGTTACGAACCACGCCACCAATTGTCCTGATCTACCAACCTAGCACTACGAACCACGCCATCTATTGTTCTGATCTACCTACCCAGCACCACGAGCAACGCCATCTAGGGACGAAACACGAGTATGACTTGTCTTAGTTACCACTCCCGGGTTTCCCTTCTCCATATCCTGGTTGTTGCGTCACCTCCTCAAAGTCTTCTTTGTCAGCTCCAGTTCGAGGAGAGTTCAGTTCACTCTGGGAAGTGACCACAGGATCACCTATCCTGGAAACCTACGGCACAGTGACTACCTACTGTCTTCTACAATACTCAGCCTTACTCGTCAGCCATCTCAGCACCGCACTTAAGTATTTGTAATCTTATATTGCCTCCCCACCTCCACCTGGCTTCAAATTATTGTATGTTGTATAAATATGTATATACTGTTAATGTTTAGGTTAAGTATGGTTAAGGGTAAATTATAGAAAGCTGAATATTTTGTTAAGGAATTTATGGTACTTTATTATACACAACAAAAACTCGCATCTTTTGTCTACCCTTTTATAGTCCGATTGTCTTTGTTTTTTTTTGTTGTTGCCTGTTGGGATCTGGGTAGACTTTTAACTATATTCTAAATCCCCAACTCGTAACAATACTCTCTGCTATTAGCACTAATTCATCAATACACTACAACTCACAGGGCAAGCCAGTCTTTAGGCCCCATGATATTGCCTCCAGCACCTTGATAAACTGAAGGGAACTTTCACCTTAAGTTCTTCACCATTTACTCTCACTGAGGTTTTGAGCCCTCATATAATATCATAACTACTTGAACAAGGTAATCCTTGACTCCTATCTTTCTCATTGTCTACTTAACTGCCTAACGTGGTACTCTGTTAAATCATAAAGTAATTTTTTTTCTTCTTGGCCATAAATATTGCCTCTGTAGTGCCCCTACCTGGCACTAAACTGAAATTTGTCATGTCTACTCTCAACCTTATCAATTTCTCAATCACTCTTTCGACAACTTTCATAACCTGATCTAGCAGCCTCAAGCCCCTGTAGTTTCCCTATTCAAGTGCATCACCTTTATTCTTGTCAATATTCACAATCACACTCTTCCCCCAGTCGCCTGGAACAGTACATTCCATCATGATTGCATTTATTAATTAGGTCACCATTGACACACCACTGACACACCAATTCTCTTTCAATCCTAGGGTATGTGAAATGGATAGCTAGTGAAATATCAAAGATTGCACAAAAGAATACATTACAGTTTACTTTGTTTTGAGGGCATTTAGAAAGAGCTACACTTAACAAGACAGATAAATAACTAACATAATTTCAGTTTACTGTAGCTAAATTATCATGAAATCTATGCCTAACTTAATAATCCCCTTACAAATTCTCAAGAGTTGTCAGGAACTAACTACAGTACAGCCAATTACTCACTGGACTGAACACAATGGTTTGGAAGAGCTCTCCTCCATGGATACTGACATCAAGTATGTTGCGTCCTCCAGGATACTGGTCTATAAATATTGTGTGAGTAAATAGGCCACAAGTCTGTCTTGGCAGTACCTGGTAATAACAAAATGTAGATCAGTAACCACACAACAAACACATTAATGTTTTTATAACATCCTTCATGAAAAAATCATAGTACATGTTCTTTGCCAATTTTTAAATTCAAGGGTTCAGACATACATATCAAAAGAAAACTTTAAGTGGGAGGCATACTTGTACACAAATGGCTATTAAGATCCACTTTAGAGGAACCCTGGATATCTTATGAACCTGAAAATGCGATGATCTACAGTGTACAGTAAATTCCGAGATCCCCATGGAAACCAGACTAGGGTCAGCACTGAACAAGTGTATACCCAACCCAGAAAACACAACCAAAATCCAGTTAGTAAGGGGAAAAATTTGCATAAACAGAGGCTGCCACTGTGGTGAAGGTGGTTGGCGAGGAACACTAAAGTAAAGTGTCTAAGTGTACAGGACATAGTCAATGAATTAAGCAGTGAAAACATAACCTCCTCTCCACATTTGGTAACGTACATTGTGAGTGTCGTACAATCACTTCCTGCCTCAATCGCCTCATGATGAGTTAATAATGACAGCATTGTAATAAGTACTGGACTGTACTTAATTATTAACATGTGCTGTGTGCTTCTATCTTTTTATAAACAGGCATACTATAGTGCAGTAATAATGTACAGTCGGCCACAGGAATAAGTATACACACTGTAGCTGTAAAGTCCGAAAATGGTCTGGTAACGTTGAAACTGCGCATCCAGATGCATGATGAAACTCAGCTCCCCCCACCACCCCCTCATTTTACCTCCCTTCCTCCACTTCACTCCCACCCTCTCTAGTACATTTTCATAACTTCTATTCACCCATTTTCTTTTCTATGCCCTATATAATAGCTCTGAATCTAAAGTGCAGTTTTATTTTCTCCTTCGTTATTTTAACCCCGTGGATACGGTGACGCCAAGTTTTTGTTTTGGACTACTGTCGTAAATGTTACTTCGTGTTAACGACAGAAGAATTTATTTGGTTTAGGCGTAGCTCTCTTGTAATCAAGGGGTTAACCTATCTCCCAATAAGAGCGCTATCTAACAAACCAGGTTATCGATGGAAACAATCTCTGTATTACAAAGAATATCAAGTACTACAGCATATGTCACTAGGCCTACAGCTTCTTTTATTATAGTTTAATGTAAGGGATAATGAAACTTATTATTAGCTCAACATCAGACAAGGGATATAGGCAGCACACTCGGAACATTAGATGCCCTGTGTGTGGTTGCCAAATGCCATCATCACATCCTAATTTCACCACACCTCTTTTTTTACTGTTTACATGATAATGTACAATACATTATTGATACATATTATAATTATTAAGAAAACTTACACTAAATTTATAAGATGCACAGGAATGAAATACAGGGTCCCCAAGTTACAAACACCCGTACTAACAAACATGATTTCATTATACAGTATTCATAATAAAAATCCTCGCCCCTTTTCTAGTAATTAATTCATCCACCATTCCTCCTAGCACCATACATTCCTATGCACAGGCCATCTTCAGGGGTCAAGATAAGTTATACTGCTTTTTCTATACATAATTTTCTTGCATTACACCCAACTCCCGTTTTATGCGGGGGTTACATTCTTGAAAACCACCACTTTATTCAAAAATGCGTAAATTAAACATATTTTTCCCATAAGAATACATGTAAATGGTACAGGTTAGGGGAACCATCATATACCACACAGGGTACGAACAGTACTCTCACTTAAACCAAGCACACGGCCAACCTCCGACACACGCTCTCCTCTCTGAAGGCGAGTGATCACATTTAATTTCATGTCCATGGCGATTGTTTTTTGTGCCTTTTTAGTTTTAGGCACCCCAGAGGAGGCAGATGGACGTTTTCCAGACATGCTCAATGGGAGAAACAGCGTTTAACACTTTAAAGGTACGTGATAAACAAACACTACATATGAGAGCACAGAGAAAAAGTAGTGCTGGTGTGAACTGAGAAAGCGATATGCGGGAAGCTTGCTGGACGTCGTCACAGTTGTTGTACAGAATACTTCATTATCATCATTATCTTCATCATTAGTAGTAATAATCTTTATTATTACATTATTATAATAATTATTACCGGGTATTATTGACAATAATATTAAAATTGTTGATATGACTGCGACTTTATAGTAATAACTTACAAGCACCTCATGAGGCATCACACGCGACTCCACTGCCAGGCTACCAGGTGAATACGCGCGACAAATTTAAACTGTCGAGCGCGTTATTTCAAAAATAGGTGCGTGTAAATTAACTTTTGTTATTAGTAATTGAACAATTGCGTTATTCCAAAAACGCTTAAATCAAACGCGCATAAATCGCGAGTTACCTGTATTTACATTATTTGTTACAGGTACGAGATTTGTTTTCTATGGGTTATTTTAGTTGTGGTTTTAAAGGTAAGAATGGTTTTAATAATATTTGATTGTGAAATGAACACGGATCTGACTTGCAGACAATTTGACTTACAAACAGGGTCCAGGTGTGTTATCCGTTCATAACTAGGGGTCTCCTGAACAGTATGCTGTACAGATGTGTACTGTTTATGGTTGTGGTTTAAGTAGTATCTCCTGAAGCATATATTTTTAAAAAAATGAAGCAAATATCCTAAAACCCACAAAAACAACTAACTGCACACTAATTACAAATAATGTAAATTCTATAATGACATTCTTATCGTCACAACACTTAGGTTTTTCCCTCACCATAATATTACGATGAATAAAGCCTCTTCGTAGTCGAGCAGGATGAAGGTGAGGATATTCCTCCGAGGATGTCACTCGTACATTCCACACCTTCTTCCATACATCATACAAGGCTTCATGGACTGGGTATACACCAGAATGATGTGGGGCAACACCATAACCTATTGGGACAAAATTATCATAAGTAAAATCAAATAATTCTTGGATTTAAAATAGCATGGTACAGACACAATCACCTTTTTACCTCTCACTCTTAACCTAAAACAACCCTTTCCACTTAGGCTTATTCTTCCCTTTACCTCACTTTTCTAACATATTTATTCTTTAGTCATGAAAAATCAAATTATTAATCTACTTTTCACTATGGCCTATCTAATACAGTATGCCCCATATTTTGTATGGTTAAATCCTCTTCCCACTTGCATCATGAACAGTAAATTTCCAACACCCCTTGATATTTAGATGACCATTGATTGTAAGTCAAGGCTCAACCATTCAGTCACAAGATTTATTTTTATTTATTTATTTTTTTCAGGATAAGCCCACCTGGGCACAGACCAATGACCCGCATCAGGGCCTGGGGTCGAAAATATTATTATAATAATAATAAAAATAATAATAATAATAGTAATAGTAATAATAATAATAATAATAATAATAATAATAATAATAATAATAATAATTATAAATAAATAAAAAATTAAAAAAGAAAAAATAATCAAGATTGAGAATCGATATATGTATGTTGTGTTGTTAAAGTAAGAGAAACAATTGAGACCCTGCAATTGTGTGTAAATGAGGAAGAAAGTCAGATCAACAACCTGGGACTTGATCACATTTTTTGTGATGCCATATGGTGGCAGGGTCTACCATTAGACAACACATTATGTTTCCAATATCTTCCCAGGCAGTAGTACCTCCCTGTTTGGTAGCTGCCTACTACCTAATTGATAGCTGCCTACTAACTGCTGAAAAGTGTGCAATTCTTATGAGTGGATATACAAAAACATACATGACATGGTATGACAAATCTTCAGGCTTCACAAAGGTGGAACTCCTTAACCAACTCACCTGAGTCAGTTGGTATGTTGTGCTTCATAGCAAACTGCTTGTTGAGCTCCATCTGTTCCTCAAGGTCTTTTGGGGAAAGTAAATGAGGTTGTGTGTGCCCCCACATGTGACCAAACCACCAAAAGTCATCCACATGCTCTGTTACAAATACATATGGAATAATACAAATTAAAAAGTCTTGCCTTTTACTAAATCTCAAAGTGTCAGCATTCTTCTATAAGTACTGGCAGACCCCAATTTATGAGGATTTAATTTTTAAAAATTTGCAGTTATGAAAAACAAAACAAAGTTTTGTCCCACACTTTAATATCTAAGCAAAAACTCCAAGGTTACAATAAATAATTTAATCAGTAATAATGAAAATGTCAAAATAAACTAAATAAAATAAGGATGTACAGTTGGTACTCTATAGTATATTACTTTACATTGGACTTTCCACCCATTCATGATTCTTGATTATCTCAAGCTTGCTTTTAAGCATCACAAGTTTGTGGGTTCTCTTGGTAATGGTGGGGGTAGAAGAGGATTTATCACTATGCTTGGGTGCCATTGCATACAGAATCACAAAAGGATGGCAAGAAATGGACATAGAAAGAGCAAATTCACTTGCGCACCAAAAGTTAAGCCCTTTGGCCTATGTTTTCACCAAATTTCATGACACGACTTTTATCTTTCATTGTACATCTTATCATATATTTATACCCAAAATTATTAAATTATATTTCATAAAACTACCTGCACAATATATGTATCCAAATGCTGTAAATGAAATATAAAGGAATTTTGTGCATAGACTTGGGCCCCATCCCTGCTGGGTGAGCTATCCCATTATACAGGTTCTGTATACAGGATATAGGTATTCCAAAATCCAAAATATCCCAAATCTGAGATCCTTAAGGTCCCAAGCATTTCTGATAAAGGATAACCAACCTGTACTGTATTATTATTTTTTAATGTACAGTAATCCCCCAAGTTAAGGAAGGAATGTGTCTTTGAAAAGTTGACTGCAACATGAACCTCATTTTCCCAATGACTTTTCTAATTGGAGATGCATTCCTAAGGAAATTTTTGGGGGCAAAAAGAAGCAGAGTACAATAATACAAGCACTTTTATGAATGAAAATAAATTTTTTAAACACATACATTGATTATTTTATGATATAAAATAATAATAAATACAGCAAGGTCTCAGAGTACATGTATCCATGGTATGCGACCCCACTTATACGTGACTTATGTGTCTGATGCTTGGGTCTCGCTTCCTCAGCGTGTTTATTACTCATCTGTGATCGTTTGAGAAACAGATAAATAAAATCATTACAATACATTAATGTGGCTTAGAAATAGACAATATAAAACTATTAAATAAAAAATGAAGAGTATGGGTGTGTATGTGTGGGAAGTGAACGTTTGTGTGTGGAGGCAGTGAGCTGTAACTGCATAGACGACTCGCCATTCTGTGCTCCCTTCCTCCCTCTCCTGATGCGAGGTGACTGTCCAACTTAGCAGCTGAACTGTGTCACATAACCCAGAGAATGGTTTGAGTGTGGAAGGAGCTATTCTTTTTACATAAAATAATTTACACTGTACCAGTAAATATGAAGAGTAAACAAAGATATACACAAAACACTTGAATTTAACTCACCACAAATGATGCTGAGTGCTGTGTGATGTGAGGTTTATATCCAACATAATTAATTTATGGACTCTTTTTGGACCACTGCTTTCACTTGGACTTCATGGCCTCTTTCCACTCATCTTGAATAAGGGTAATACACTGGACAGTCTTGAGTAAGATACTGTACATAAGTGTTAAATCCCAGAGCTGGTTATCTTTCAACTTGTAATTTTGGGTAGATACACGTATTTTTTTTTTCTACTGTTACATGCACACACAATCTTTCAGACAAAATGGGAAAAAAGGAAAATTATTTTAAGATAAAAAAAAACATGAAGGGAATAAACATTTCTTCATGTGCCAGAGTTAGCAGACAGAGCAGGGGAAGGAGGGAGTTGCGTGGGAAACCTCAGCTGTTTACGGTCTCCTGTGTTTAGTGTAGTGAAATGATAGCCAAATGGCAATGCAGTTTTCCTTTTATTATATTTATTCACTGGTACAATATATATTATTTTATGTACAAAGAATAGCTCCTCTGGGTGACGTAACACAGTTCAGTCACCCACCTGACTCACATCGGGGAAGGAAGGAAGAGAGCGCAGCTGGAATTGAGTTACTGAAGCAATTGCAGCTCACTGCCTCCACACACAAACGTTCACTTCCCACACATACACACTCATGCTCTTCATCTTCCTATTTTATAGTTTTACTGTACTGTACACAGTATTATATTTTCTTTATTTCTAAGCCACATTCTTATATTGTAATAATTCTATTTTTTTTTTCTCAAACGAGTACAGATAAGTGATAAGCGCACTGAGGAAGCAAGAAATACTGGGTGGGTTGGCTCAGGCAAGAGCATATCCCTTGCATGAGGATGGATCACAGGGGTCAACAGCGTATAAGCGGGGTCGCGTACTCTGGATACACATACCTTGGGACCCAACTTTGTATAAGTTCTCATACCAACCTAGAAGTTTCCTATCACCAATGTTCTCTTCTGGGTAGCCATTTTGGTAGTATTTGCCACTGAAGCCAAGGTTAAATTTCCAGCCTGGTACCATTTCTTGAAGACGCTTTTGAGAATCCAGAAGTGCCTGCAAAGATCATGTACTTTCAAAGTTGTTTACAACTTCATTTCCTAAAAAATTTTAACCTGTCAAAGGTAACCATGTTTATATATGACTTTGGTCTCTATGATTTCTGGTCAGCATGTACAGTATATATAGTTTTATAAAATTACTCTTTGCACACTCTAAAATGCCCCAAAATTTTATAATTTGATGTATGAGTACATGGCATCATATCATACCATATCTTGCTCTAATACCATGCACCTCGACCTGACATGAAGAAGAAAACTGTAAAAAGTATATTGTCTGCAGCATAAGTCAGCAAAAACGCACTGACGCTCGCTCTCACTATCAAGAATGTAATGTTCTTTACCTTGAGCTTTGCTTAAAGGAGTACCACACCTGTTACAGTATTGAGCAAGCTTGTAGCTTGTATACTGCATACACACAAATAATGTAAGGCTTATAAACAGCAATACCTATAGTTATAAGTATCATTCTTAGTTTTTTAATTGCTTTTGATTGTACAGTATTGAGTTTAGATTACCGGTATGTTTCTATGTTTTGTATTTCTTTCATTTTATGTTTTGTAATTTTTTTCATATTATTACAGTAATATCTCCGTTAGCCGGAATCCCTCAAACCCGGAACTCTCCGATAGCTTGAATTTAAATTTTCTCGGAAAATCGCTCCCAAAGTCGGAATTTTCCGGGAAATTCTGGCTTTGGGAACGATTTTCCGAAGTGCACATTTTCTGAAAATTCCGAGAAAAATTTTCCGTTACTCAGAAAATTACGGGGATGAGAGATATTTTTCCCGGTTCGAGAGATGATGTAATGGGCAATTTCTGGAACTTCTGAGAAAATTTTTCCGTTACCCGGAAAATTCCGGGGATGGGGGATTTTTTCCGGCTTTGAGAGAGTCGTCTCGTTACCCGGAAATCTCTCATTCCCGGAAGTGCTCTGCACCAATTGTTCCGGCTAACGGGGATATCACTGTATTATTATTATTATTATTACTATTAGAATTCTACATAATTTGAATTGTTTCAATACAGTATACAGCTACTCCTCGACATATGACATACTCGACCTACGACCACCCGGACATAAGACCGCCCCAGTCGTACAAAAAAAAAATTTAAATTACGTATTTTCGAGTCCAAACGTTGGTGATTGCGCTGTGTACTGACAAAATTTTTGTTTGTAATTCCCTTTAAAATGGCTGGCAAGCGTAAAAGTGAGAGTTCTCGAGAGTTCTAGTGGTGCTGAGAAGAAAAAGAGACCTAACAAATAATCTGAATATAGACATCATATATTTTGCACAAGAGATAAAATTGTTAGTCCTTTGTACTAAAATGTACTAAATAATTAATAAAATATATATGTCAAGTGCAAACTATAGCATGTTTATATTCAAATTAATCACTATCTTACAAGTCATTTCATTGACATTTTATAAGAGAAAACTTAAACTCCCCCAATATGACAGATAAATAAATACCACAAGGTAACTGTTGTCTGCCCTCTGGCCCAGCTGTCATAATAAATCAACTCCTCTCCAACTTCCAGTAAGGGTGACTGAGGTTTTAGGCTTAAAGTTTTTATCTTATAAAATGTATCAGACTAAAGTTAGCAGAATATAAATTGCATTGCTTGAATTCTTGCAAGACAGCAAATAATCTGAATATAGACATATATTTTACACAAGAGATAAAACTTTTAGTCTTTTAGAGTACTGTACATTTAAGTACTGTACAGTTTTCAACTCGTATTTTTTGGTCAATTTAGGGGATTTTTAAGCGTTTCTGACTTACAATTGTTTTTGGCTTTATGTGAAGTCCCAGGAACATAACCCCACATAAGTTGTGAGTCTACTATAAATAAATTTATCGCTATATACAGTAGTGGAAAATGTCGATAATTTTGGTAGTCGTGGTAAATTTTAAATATTTCCTGCCTGATTTCCCTTGCAATTTTTTTTCCGCTATACCTGTATATAGGAAAATGTCGACAATGTTGGTAGCCGCGATATAAATTTTTTTTTATATAAAGTCGCTTTATATCCCGACCCTACTGTACTAACAGTAACAACTTCTTTCTTATGAATAAATGAACCAATTCAAATAAAAAGACAAGGATGGTCATTTGCAACTTAGTAATGTACACAGAAAGGATAGAATGACAAGAAGTATGCTAGAAAACATTTGAAGAAGAGGATACATCACATGTGACATTATTTAAATTTAGTCAAGTACGGTAGACCAGGACAGCTGTAACTAGAAAACACTTCCAGATAATTAATCATGAAGTGCAAATATAAAGCCATGCAGGTGTGATACTTATGAACAAATTCTATACTTTTCACAAAATACTGTAGTGTTATTTCAAAATAAATTCAAGATGAAATATCACATGGAAGACAGAACTTTTAATATATACTCACCATCACGTCATCTGCAGTCATACGTATCCCTTTTTTTGCAACAAAAATGTCATCTATGTCAACCAAAACATAGCGATCCATAGAAATGGAAATACGGCCCATGCTGAGGTAGGACATGGCATCAAGAAATAGCAGCCGGTGCAGCCAGAACTCTAAATTGCCCCCAAATAACACTCGTTGAATACCATCAAATTCTCCCTTGTCCTGAAAAAAAAAAAAACTCTTTACAGTACATAAAATTATCAAACAACCAAAATTTACAAACTAAAATATTTTCTCAAGAAAACATCAGTGCTTTCATAAACAAAATTCCAAGTGTATCCATGGATAGAAGGCTGTACAATATATGTAAACTAAAACCTCACTAAGTCAGCCTCTACTAATTTGAAATACCGGCTAATTCATACATTTTTCACATGGGAGATATATTGGACATTTTCAAATAATTTTTGGCCAATTGTGCAAATTATTCAAAGTTTGTATGAAATATACCCACATGGTCCAAGCAGTCAGCAGGTTGGAACAGGCAGTTTTCCTTTATGTGGGCCTACTAGGGTACCAATTCATATAATGGTATGTACAGTATATTGAAATAAGGTGTTAGAGGCAAATGTTAAGAATAACTTACACTGATAAAAAACAAATGAGAAAATAATAAGGTTAGTAAAAACTTCAAAACAAATATTTGAAACATACAGAAAAAGAAAAATTAGATACTGTACTTTAGTCATATAATTATTCACGGGGGGATACAGTAATAACATAAATATTAATGGGCAAAGTGGAGGTACGAGAGCCAGGGGAAGGCAGACACAGGGATGGATGAATGAATTTGAAAATTGGGTCCCCCAGAGAGATACAAAATCTTGTAGGATTGGTAAAGACAGCCCGAAAACGTTTAGAGTGGAGGACTGTGGTCGCCAACCCTCAGATATGAGGATGGTACTCTGATCAATTGATCTTATACCTACCTGCTAACAATACAAATCTTAAGTCTTTCTTTAAGTTAATTTTAACTCCATCTCATTTTTAGTGATTTTCATTTCAGTCTAGCCAATGTCAACCCATTTTAAGAAAAGTTTGTGATTTTTAAGATATTAACTTGGTAATCATTAGTGCTGGCTCAGCAGAGTACCATACCATACTTTTCATGGATGTAACCAGCCTAGCAACAGGGTGGTAATATACCTCAAAATTTTGGCATTGGTACTGACCAGACGTACAATGAACGCAATAGCTGATTGTACATTTGTATATAATAAACAAATATTATTGGTGAGCATAACTTCACATGCACTAGTTCTATGTTGTGTGAAAAATTTTGTTTCATTAGGGCTTACACAGCACAATCTGTACTTCTCCATGACATCATGAGCCTACAAGGAGATGCGAACATTACAACATAAAATCTGTTTGTACAGTATACATAAATATCATTAGTGTTAACATCACTCTGCATGTACCATTTGTATGTTAAGACAAATTATAAACAAAGTAAGTTCACCTAATGTTAGCACATGAACTATACATGGTACAAAAAGGGTAATGGCTAATTCATATTCACGAGTAATTTGAATGTGGTAGAGCCCCAAAGATGTTGAATTAGCAAGGTTTGAGTGCATGTGTTTTTTATAACTAAATGTCCTCTGTTTTCACAAATAATTCTTCCTTCCCATCACAATCAAACCCTTTAAAAGAGGAGTTTGGAAGCAAAAGTCAACATGAAAAACAGGAATTGTTGAGTCTTGTTGTCACACTACCAAAGAAGCACCAGCCTGTTCAGCTATTATGGGTCAGCCACCTTGGATTCAGGTTCAAATTTCACTTCCCAGCCAGAGATGTTTCCTGATACTTGTAGCTGAATACACAGAATCCTTATTTTCAAAGTGTGAGTTAAATAACCTGTATCACAAAGTTCTTAATGCTATGTTATATTAAAGAGAAGAGGAGGCAGGAATATGAAATTTTCTATTTGTGTGATGAATCATAAGCAATGTTTCCAGATCCTTCTTAGGTTTATGTTGGTGGTTAGTAGTGGGGCTGACTAACTGTGGCTTAGTTTCATGGGCAGAATTTGATATCATCATCACCATCATATTTCTATTTTACATCCATTTTTCATTCTTGTATGGGTTCAATGAGGTGACCGATGGCAACTCTCCATGCTGTGCTGTCTCTTGCACCCTTTCTCGTAAGGTTCTTTGCTCTGATGTCTTTTTTAACAACCTCACCTAATGTCATTCTTGGTCTACCCCTACCTCTCCTACCCTCCGCATATTCCACTTATAGCATTATATTTATACAACAATTGTTTTTTAATAAATGTATAATCATAAACCAAATTTTGTCATTAAAAACATGTTTTGTAACATTTTGTGACATTATAAGATGCTCCAGGGAAGTTTTTCATAGGAACGTGTCGCATGTTTTATGATGAAGTTTATAAGAAAATGCACATTGATTAACAAGAAGTTTTCAGGAACATAACCCTTCTGTGAATAAGGGTCCGCCTGTATCTTACAATGCACAGTGCTACATGCTGGCCTCGCAAAATTGTCTCTGAAAAATTGATGTCTTTTAACACTTATTCAACTCTATATAAACGATGTAGCTTAGAAAAAAAGAAAATGTAATATAAAATTATAAAATACAAAAAATGAAGAGCATGGGAGTGTATGTATGGGAACCGGATGTGTGTGGAGGCTGTGGGTTACAACTATGTTGCCGACTCACCAGCCCAGCACCTTGTTTACTGTTACATGTAATGAAACTATAGAAGTTGTGGAAAATTAATGCGATACTCCAATGTGGCTGAGAAATAAAGAAAATATAATATAAAACTATAAAATAAGAAAAATGAAGAGCATGGGTGTGTATATGTGGGAAATGAATGTGTGTGAAGGTGGTGGGTTACTGAGCTATAACTACATGGCCGCGCTCCATCCCAATGTGACGTCACGGCAAACACACAGGCAGAGCAGCAGCCACACGTCTGTGAGTAGAGTTGGACGTCTAGCTGAACTGTGTCATACTGCCCAGAGGATGGTTTGAATATGGAAAGAGCTATTTTTTGCTGACTTTAGCTACTCAAATCACCTAGCAAGGGCCCTTAGGCAACTTAGATACCTTTCCTCCTTCCTTAAAACCACTGAAGTAAGAAGAAGACTGGAAAGCAGAGATTGAGCCAGAATTCAATATGGCTGTCCTATAAGAGATGACATAAGAGAGTGTATATATGCTGATGCCAGCGCCCTGGTATCCTACTACCCTTGAGGATAACTTTTGCTTCCAAGCCTTCCAGTTCAAGGATGTGATTGTGATGAGAAGGAAGACTTAACTGCGAGATAGTTTGAGGATAAATCTAATCAACAAATACTACCCGGTCACTAATACTGGATCTCCTGTGTATACTGTACAACCTGCCAAGTTAAGCTGCCATTATGCCACCTGTCATAATATAGAATTTCATGATCAATCCTGCATTCAACAAGGCAATTTTTGTATTAATTTTAATCATAATGGCTTCAAATGCACCAAATAGCCCCTTGAGGAATATAAAGGACATTAAAATATCCCCCATTACCAAAACTGGAACAAGGGAACATTCATTGATGTAAGCCGTCATCCCTACAGCCAACACCAATGATATATGCCACCATTTATGGGTTAATGGCTTAGTTGGAACAAGGCTGTGCCTCTTAATAGCTTCTTTATCAATTAATTTGTTCCCTGTCAGTATACATGCATATGAGGCTTTACTTTCTTATTGAATTTTATAAAATTAATTAAAAATATAGAACTTCACTGACCAGAACAACAGTAATCAACTTTTCTTCAGAGTAGTGAGGAACACTTGAGTAAGCCCATTCTATAGGCACATAGGTAGTATCATCCGGTGAAAACACAGTCCAGGCCATCCCTAGTAAGTTGTCTGTGATTGTTCCTCCAGCCCTGGTCAGCTGTAGAACTGGGTTTTCACCATTGAGGCTGATATTCTGCATAAAATTAATAAGTTGATAAATATAACAATCAATAAACAATTCAAATTCTCAATTTAAATCACACATATTTAATATAAATATTTTTTCCATTTTTTAAAACATGAATTTTTGTCAAAGCTATGTAACTGGGATGGCATACCCACTGTAATTAAGTCATAAGTTCTTAAATAGTGTCTTTAGAAAATACATATCACCAATGTAAAGTGTTACAACTTAAAACAAGGTGGAGTTACCAGCCTCACATCCCAGACTAAGAAAGGGAGGTGTGTAAAGACCTAAGCAGATAATACTCTCACGCCATCTTCTATAATGTACTGTGTATAATATAAATGGTCAGAGATATGGATGTACAGGATGACCCTCCATTATCCAGCTTTCCATCGCATGGCAACTCCTGAATAACAACACGTAGCTGTCCAGTCGATCACATGCCCAATTCTATCATTATTTCATGACATACACACACAATTATCACTCCATAAAACAAAATATAAATCCTAAAATAATCATAAAGCAAAAGACCTTAAAATGAAGCTCTTACACTGTACTGGCATACATATGGTTCCAAATATATATAAATTATTTATTTTTATATGACTCGCCAAACAAAATAATTATTTTCAAGAAAGACAAATACAAACTGCAAACTTTACATAGAGATGTCCATAATAGGTGACATCATACATCTGCAGCATTGAGCTGCCACACTGCAGTTGACAGCTAGACATTTTATTTTATTTTATTCGGAGGTAGTAGGTAGTAGGCAGCTATCAAACAGGGAAGTTATTGGAAGCATAATGTGTTGTCTATGGTAGACTCTACTGCCATATGGCATCACAAAAATTTTGACCAAGTCCCAGGTTGCTGATTTGACTTTGTGTCTCATTTACACACAATTGCTGGGTTTCAATTGTTTCTCGTATTATTGACAACACAACATGCTGTATATCGATTCTCACTCTTGATTTATTTTTTCGTTTGTGTTTTTATTTATGGTTATTATTATTATTATCAATTTTATTTCTTGGTTATAATTTGTATCTATTTTTATTAATTATTATTAAATATTATTATAGGTTGTACCTCTCTAGTCCGGCAACCTCGGGACCTGATCGGTGCCGGACCATGGAAATTGACCCTTTTCCTGGATAGATAGTGACTTGTGCTTATGCTTGGAAGCACTAGCACCACTTTCTCTGCATCATGGTCTCTTTGAAGACATATTGAAGGGTTAAATGTCATATAGTAGCTTCTCAAATTTCGCGAGTTTTTAGTTCTTAACGTATTTTATTGGAACACAAAAAATAAATAAATATAAATTTTGACGGCGGAAACTTGAATTTCGACGGGTTTGAACGGCCCACCAACGTGCAGACGGCGTGCATAATCGTGTAAACAGCGTCATTTCTCTTATGCACAAAAGATTCATTTTTGTTTATTACTGAATGTCTTTTATTGAATTAATGTTTATGTGTGCAAAATGAGCAATACAATTCATTAATAATACGTAGAATATTAAAACACACGAAGAAATGACACAGCATTGTTTTCGTTGATTACAAAACCAGTGACTGACTGGTTCTACGTATAAAACTGAAGAAAATAAGACCTTGGTTGTAGCTGTAGTAAAATTAATATGGTTGTTTTGAGTAATGTTATTTAATGTTAATAAATGGAACAATAGAAGTAGCGAACGATAATGGTAAAGAAAAAAAGAGAGATCGCGTATGTAAGTGCGCATGCGCACACGTGAAAACATATCGTTATTACTTTCATAAGAATATGAAAGCAACACTTATTTACTGTTCATATATATTTTAATTAATGTTTCTGAATTTGTTTTTATTGAATTAATGTGTGTGTGTGTGCAAAATTAACAATACAATTTATTAATAATACGTGGAATATTAGAGGAGACGAGACGGCTGCCAGCATTGTTTACGTTAAAGCTTACGAAGCCAGTGACTGATTGGTTCTACATATAAAACTGAATAAAATAAGACCCTGATTTTAGCTGTAGTAAAATTAATGTAAAAAAATTAATATGGTTGTTTGAAGTACCTGTAATGTTATTTAATGTTAATAAATGGAACAATATAAGTAGCTAACCATTAATGGTAAAAAAAAAGTGAGACTGCGCGTATGTAAGTGCGCACATGTGAAAACATATCGTCATTACTCTACATAAGAATATGAAAGCAACACTTATTTACTGCTCATATATATTGAAGGGTTAAATGTTGTACTCTGTATAGACAAGCAGAGAGAGAGAGAGAGCAGCCGAACTGCCGGATGTAAACAAACCTTAATTTCCCGCGGCTTTGTTTTTTTTTTTTTTTAGGGGATTAGCCCACCCGGGCATAGGTCACTGACCCACATTGGGGCCTGAGGGGCAAAAATTTAATACTCCTGTAATAATAATAATAATTCAGATAAGTTAAAAAAAAAAAAAAAAAGCTGCCTATCTACCAATTGGACAAAATAAAATCGTTCCGGACCACGGAAGTTTCCGGACCACAGAATCCCGGACTAGAAAGGTGCAACCTGTATTATTATTATTATTATTATTATTATTATTATTATTATTATTATTATTATTATCATTATTATTATTATTATTATATTGTCGCCTCCCCAGGCCTTGATGTGGGTCAGTGACCTATGCTCAGGTGGGCTAATCCCCGTAAAAAAAAAAAAAAAAATTCACCACTTGTCAACTTACTAGCCACTGATGTGGTTGGTCTGTTCTATGTTATGGCCTTCATTTTCCAGTGTTAGTACAGGAGAAAACCAGAGTACCTGGAGAAAATCTGCAATGTATGGTAAGGCTACACTGGATAACACCCTACTCACATCTAACTCGGGGATTGAATCCTTGACAAAGTAGGGCAAGTGTGATTCTGCTGGTGGTGGTGCTTGTTTATAGTATTTAATTATTATTTTGCCCCCACTTCACAGTTCTGTATAGTATGTATGTTGTATAAGTGACCATTAAATACACCTGGATCTAAATCTCCCAAGAGGAAGACACAAACTGACTACAGTTTAATAATTATAGGACTGTTTTGATTTAAAAAATCTTGATTTTTGAAAATTTGCAATCGGGGGTTACCACCAATTTTGACTCAGAGGTGTAGGCCGAGTGATGGCAGACCCACAGACCCTAGTCTGACTAAAGGGGGTTTCTGACTTATGGAAGTCTGACTTAGGGGGTCTTACTGTAGTGTGAAGTAAATCATTGATAAGAAAGGAGGTGATAGAACAGAACCCTGTAACACTACTATTGGTAGAGAAAGAGCGAGAGATCAAACTCGCGACAACAACTGCCATGGATTAGTTCTCAAGGAAGCAATAAATGATAGAACAGTGTGGAGGAGAGAAACCATAAAAAGAAGTTTAGAAAGCAAAGACTTGTGCCTTACCCTGTCAAATGCTCTGCAGATGTCAAGGGCCAAGACAAAGGTTTCCCCATAATCCCTGAGAGAGGATGACCATAGATGGGTGCAGTAGGAAAGCAGATCACCAGTACATCTAGCATGATGGAAACCATACTGATGATCCCACAAAATAGAAAGGTGTTCAAGGTGATGGAGAAAATGAGAGTTTAAGATAGTTTAAAAAATCTTAGCGAGGGATGAAGCTAGGGCAATGGGGAGATAGTTAGAGAGATTAAAATGGTCACCCTTCTTCGGGATGGGCTGAACCAAGGCATGCTGCCAAGAAGAAGGAAGTGTTTGGGTTTTAAAGCAAAGCAAAAGAGGCAAGCAAGCACAGGGGAGCAGAACCTCAGCATCATCCGGCAGCCCTGGTTTCAAAGTAGCCAGATAAGGGAGGGTCAATCTGTACACACTGGTAATCAATAAAGACACATAGCAGGTATATCAATTATCTTACAAACCTCTAATGCCATGTTAGTATGTACGTAGAGAGGAAAGCCCCGGAGCTTAGCCCCAACTTGAGTGTCCTCATGTGACGGCATAAACCCAATCAGTCCAACATTATAGTCTCGAAAGTACTTGTCCAAGAGTTCCCGATTCCAAGGGTCTATCTGAAGGTAACGTTCAAAGTTCTCAAACACTACTGTGCCATATTTGCCTCTTGAAAGATTGGTGAGTCCAGGCAGTGACTTACCCAAAACTTCCATTTTGTACCTCAAAAGGAAAAGATAAATTAAATTCAACATATGACTATATTTTTAATTGATATGAAAAACTTATATATTGAACTTAATTACAACAGGAAAAAAATGAGAGGTTAACATATCTAAAGAAAATGCAAATCTAGGTATAAAAAATGTGCTTGCAAAAAAGTGGGGTAGTAATAATAATATGATGAAATGGGCATCTGGGAAAAAACATTTAGTAACAAATATTTGCATATACTGTAGAAGTGTAAATTCTTTATTAAGATAATTTAAATACAGGGAGAGCATGTAAAATAAAACACAAGTTGCACATACAGTGCATTTCAGCTGAGCATTGTGGGTGGGAATGGTTCTGGCTGGCAGACAAAATATTAATGTAATAGTATATGTGATGTGATAAAGTATAATAAGAGTAGTGATGGGCCAGCAAAGATTGGTACAGACTTGAACTTGCCACCCTAGACCGTCTCTACCATCCTCAACAAAGAGAAATAAGTCTCAATCTATGCTTTACATTCCTTATTTAATACTCATTATGCTTGCTCTATTTTCTTGCTTGACAGTTGCACAAATATGATATATTAGGGGTAGATGGGAGTTTTTGGAGGGTGGCCAGTCCCTAACCTCCTGAATTTATTATATATTCTTATCGGATTAATTGCATCAATAACCACTAATTTACTTACCAACAACTTTTCACGGTCCCTATATGCGTCAGTTATCGGGGTATGCCTATATCATGCTTTTCACATGGCCTCATGCCCCCCAGTTTGGGAACCAATGCTTTAGAGCAGTGGTGTCAAACTCAACACCTTACGAAGGCCAATTCTTATTTTATTTACCCTCTTCAGGGCCAACACAAGTGCTATAACACATATTTGCAGGATTGAAGTTTACAGCTTCACACATTGCGTACACCAGTTCTCCTCGTCTGTTTAGCCTACCTAGTGTTGCAACGTTTGGCTGCGGCTTCGTTTTTTAATTTTTTAGTTATTTCGATTTTATAAGCATTTTCCCTTTACATTAGTGTTTTTACTGGCATTAAAAATATAAATTAAATTATTGCCTCAATGATGTAAAGATCATTTCGGTATTTACTGAATCATTCATATCTGCATTTTTTCCTTCATAACTATTTCTATCATAAGTTCACGGGCTGATAAATTTTACCGTCATCCAGCGAGCCACACCTGACCATCCCAAGGGCCACATTTGGCCTGCAAGCCATGAGTTTGACACCCCTGCTTTTGAGTGTCTTGCATCAATACAGCAAGTGTATTTGTTCAAGATATTAAGCCCATAACCCCTAGATGAAAGGACGGATAGCTTGCATACTTAAGTTCCTCTTACAAGGTGTTAGGGGTAAAATTAAAAATATATATTCAGGTATTAAAAATTTACATTATTGAATTTACAAGTTATGGTCCTAAATATTTCAACTGCACAAAAACTTAAGAAACTTACTTGATTCTATTTGCTACAAGAATATTTGTGATGGCTTTCCCAGTTTTTGAGTACCGAGTCTCCGTAAAAAGCAACACCTTGGGATCTTCACGTAGTTTATTCTCCAAGGTCTTTGGGGGCACTCGGAGATGAGGGAGAGTAGTGTTGCCCATGTTGTTGCACCGAAACAGTGACTCGGGTGGGCGGCCCCGTACCAAGCTGGAACACAAAACATAGCTGCTGCTACGTCAGTCTTTAACTTAATGTATACATATACTGTATATATATATATTTTTAAATTTGCTATATCAATATGAACAGCTTCTGCTGAGAAAGTTTTAAGTTAAGTAAGTATAACCATTAAACAATGAGGAACAAAGCAAAGTTATGATACAGATGAAAGTGTAATAATAACAATTACTTAGTGCTTCAAAAGAAGAAATTCTATTAGTGATGCTTCACAAATGAATTTGGGGAAGATATTAGTCACAAATATGCAATCTTTTGAGGGAGATATTAGTAGGTTAGCCTCATACCTAACTATGCAGGAGCAAGCATGATTTATTTTTTCTATCATGTTTAGTAATTGCAAAACAGACAAACCTATACCAGAAATACTTTTAAGCCTTGTGCACTATATTATCTTTTCCAAGATGTTAATCAACAAAAATAATCTATATAATGTGGTAGGGCTGTAACCCAATCACATACTGTATAAAAGCACAATGATCATCTAAATATTCTAAACATTTCCTCCCTAATTAGTCATTACTGAGAGAAAACCCCCGACCAGACACAGGGACGAAGCCAAAGCCATTGGAATGTCATGATGCCAAAGCCAGACATTAAAACAGTCATGAAGTCAAAGCCAAGGCTTTTCAAGGCTTCGTGAAACATTAACACCATTATTTATATAATATACTTCTGTACTACCTTATATTGATGGGACTATGTATTGTATTCTAAGTTGCAGCAACGCTTTGAGATAACCTGACTTTATTTTAAGTTGACTGTTCTTGGGGAATATTTTACTCTCCCTATACCCTGAAATAGGTTACTTATAGTAACACTTTACCTTTGCTAAATTTATATTATCCATAATACATAAACATAGTAATTTACAGCCACAAATCACAGAGAAGCATCCGTTTAGTATCTTTGATATCTTCTGACGTTTAGGTCAGGTCCTTGTGAGAATAGATTAGTAGGAATAACTTGTAATGTCAGTCTGGATCTCAGTTCATGTAAGGTCAGATCAAGATCACATGGCCAACTCACATTTGACCTGACCTCACCTAAAGTTTACTCTCCCTGGCACTACCTGGGGTGGAGATTTTGACTTGATTGACCTGTGACAATATGATCTTGTGTCAGCACTGGTCACTGAAATGCTGGTTAGTAATTTCGGCGCCGACACAACAACCCATGTCACTTTGATATAGTTATCAAATATGACCCGATCCATGGCAGTTGTTATCGAGAGATCAACCTCTCGCTCTTTCTCTACCAATAGTGGTGTCTCACAGGGTTCTGTTCTTTCACCTACTCTCTTCCTTCTTTAGATCAATGATTTACTTCACACTACGATTAATTCTATCCATTCTTATGCTGATGATTCTACTCTTCACACTTCTTCACATTTTTCCCTTCCCCCTAATTCTCGAACTTGATCTGTTTCTAGAGTTGATATCATTTCATCTATCAATGCAGATCTGTGAAGCATCCCCGATTGGGGAGGTAGACACTTCCATTAAATTCAATAGTAATAAAATTCAGTACATATTTACCAATTACACTTTCCAATTTAGATGCTCTTCCACCAATCACATTTCAGGATGCAATCATTCTGCCAATATCTAAAATAGATATGCTAGGTGTCACCATTTCCTCCAATATGTCATGGAAGCCACACAACCACAACATTGCTAAAGCTGCCTCCTGAAAGCTGGGAATGCTGTACAGGTGCGTAGCTACTTCACTCCTGAGCAGTTGCTTCAAATTTATAAGGGATTCATTCGTCCTAACTTGGAGTACTGCTTTCATATCTGGGGTGGTTCTTCTTCTGTCCAACTGTTAGATAGGGTGGAATCAAAGACATTTTGTCTTATTGACTCTCCTCCTTTAGTTGATAACCTTTCCTCACTTTCTCTTTGCCGCAATGTAGCTTCACTCTCTCTCTTTTACAGGTACTTTAACGGGCAATGTTTGGTGGATTTGGCATCCTGTGTACCGCCGGCAAGGCAGTGGGCTTGTAACACTCGTCTTGCCCGCAGTGCCCACAGTTTCTCTGTGGCTGTCAGTCACACTAGAATAACCCGTTATAGCATATCCTTCTTTCCTCACACAGCCAAACTGTGGAATGCTCTGCCTTCTTCTGTTCCCATGCTCTTACAATATGTCTCAATTTAAAAAGCTGGTTTTCTGGCATCTTTGTGGTGTAGATTAATATAATCTTTTTCTTTTCTATTTTTAATTTCTCTTTACTTTTTACCAATGCCAAAGCTGGCTTCAGCCCCATGCCTGTCTCCTACCACCCCCTATAATGCCCTAGTTAATGTTAACTCAGTTTAGCTACATCACCCTTCTCTCCCCATCATGTGTTCAAGTGAAACAGTTGCCCTAGTGAAGCAAGAGGCCTTAATAGGTTCAATTTGTCCAATCATAACACCTGGCACTGAGACTACGACTACTATATGCCATTTTGAATTCCAGGTCAATCCACGATTCTGAAATTCAACTCTACTTGTATGAGCCCAAGAGAGGAAGAAGCGTATCTGAGCCGCCTACTTACCATAATGGCTCCATGAGAAAACAGGATTTCACAATCAGTTCTCTAGCTGTTTTATACACCCTTATGCCAGGTAGTTCCCATAAATACAGACCTGCTAAAAATGAGGGAGGCAGTGGTGCCAAAAAAAAAAAAATAATAATAATAATTAAAAGACATGCACCCCGGTAGAAAATCCAGTTTTGCCATCTGTTAAGGTTGGGTCATTTCTTTAGAATCCCAAATTCTCCTTTTCTCGACAGACCCTGCTGCCATATGGCACCACAAAAACTGTGACCAAGTCCCAGGTTGCTGATCTGACTTTCTGCCTCATTTACACACAATTGCAGGGTTTCAATTGTTTTTCTTACTTTGACAACACAACATACATACATATCGTTTCTCACTATTGATTTTAATTTATTTTATGGCTCTTTATTATTACTATTATTATTATTTATATTAAGCTTTATTAATTTTATTATTATTATTATTATTTTAGCATATTTTCGTCCACCAAGCCTTGATGTGGGTCATAAAATGACCTGTGCCCGGGTGGGCTAATGCCCATAAAAAAAAAAATATCAATGGAAGCATGAAGTCAGTAAATTAAAACCCGAAGAGTTCTAGAGTTCTATTCATAGTTTAAAATATTCCTGTGTGAAATAGTTCGTTATACTTCTGAAAAAAAAAAGCCTTTCCATTCACCTAAAACAGTATATTTACATACACAAAATTAATTATTCTATGATACAAGACTCTTCAGTCTACTCTATTCATGCACTAGAGCATTTTCATTTCTCTAAAAACATTGGGGATAATCACTAAAAGTATACCAAATTTTTTAAGTTCTTTACAATCTTGAAATTAAGTTGAAATGTCTTCATTGCTTACCTCAACAATGATCGATGAGATGATTCACTGAATGAATAAATCACCACCACGATGACTATAAGTGCAGCCCCAAGAATACACCGCCTCCAAGAAGCTTTTCTTGGGCCTGCAAAACACAGAGTGGCCCTGTGCCACAGTCGCCAGGGACGGCATATAAGTGGCAAGTTCCTACTGTTCTGAGATGCATGACGTCCAGCATGGGGTCCTTCCCAGACTCTCTCCCCCCTCATATAACCGTCGACAGTACTGGCAACCAGGATACTTTTTTCACTCTCCATGTTTTCAAACATTCAGTGTGTCTTAGTTCCAATAACAGCTTGTTACTGAGTAGAGTGTATCCACATATAAGAATTTTACAGGTATTACTTCACCTTACATTAAAATACAAAACACAGAAGATGACAGGATAGGTCCTCCAAACTATTCAATTCCAAGTGGGGTTCTCCATTGTAAGACATGTAGAGATTTTAGCTTCAGTTGAACTCAAATCCTTAGTAACAAGAACAGTCCTTGTTGCTGGCCTGTTTGCTGGGATCCATCCACACAATGCTCACGATCTTTACCGATTCTTGTGATGCCGTCTGCAAAGGAAAATTACAAGATAACAAAAGGCAAGAGGTAGTGCTTTAATGCATAGTAGATTTATACCACTCATTTTCTTGAAAAGTGTTATTAGGGTAATTCTAATTAATTTATCATTTCATCTCTTTTCAGCTTACTAGCCATTTGGACAGTTGGTCTGTTATTTATTACTTTGTTTATGACCTTCGATGTCCAGTGTTAGAACAGGAGGAAACTGGAATACCTGGAGAAATCCTGCTGTCTTTGGTAAGGCCACAGTGGATAACAAATTTCTTACATCTGCCCCAGGCTGAGAATTGAACTCATGATGCATAGTGAGAGATACCCTACCAATTTTCCCTTTGGATCCCATATTTAAAGCTGAGATACATTCCAACCCCCAAAAATTGAACCCAAAACATCCTGTTATAAATACAATGTGCTAATGGTTGGCTCACTTTTCTTTACTTTCAACCAATATTTCTGTTTAAGAAATTATAGTCTGACATATGAAAATTGCATAAAATACTGAGAACTTGCCATTTTTGTAATATAGTTAGAGTATAATTTCTGAGATTTTTTTCACCTTGGGCTTTGCTCTACGTCAACACGTTATAAAATATTCACTGCTTACTTGACAAATTGTTCACACAAAAGCACTTCCAAGCAACCATTCCATATAATGTAGCATTAGCTGGTAAGTCTTGGGAAGCGTTCCTGTGTACGAAACAGTCATGTCAACATTGAAAATATCATCACTGACACTGGGTAAAATTACTGTATACCATACATCAGTGCTCCGGGCATAAAAAATAAAATAAAATAAATATTATTTACTGCTTCTTGTCATTTTATGGGATTTTCTTAAGGCAAGACATTATTTATCTTCTGCAATAAGACTTGCAGTTGTTAGCCAGCAACTCAATGAAAATTTTCTGTAAAATGAAAACTCTTTCTTACCTCCATATTACAGCACTGTACAGACAGTCCCCAAGTTACGAACAAGTTTCATTCCTGATGAAGTTCTCAAGTAAAAAATAAACAGTCGGCCACAAGAATAAGTACATACTATACACCTACAGTTCGTGTTTCAGACAAAATATCAGGTAACGCTGTCCTGAACAGAACAAAGTTACAAAATGACGTGTAATTTATGTTTTATTCCTACATATATGTTAGAAATACATTTGTTGTGAATGCTCTACTAGTGTCTTGTGTTTATATTACAAGTACAGTACAGTCTCTCCTCGACTTACGACATATTCGACTTACGACAACTCGTACATACGACGGCCATGGTCGTATAAAATATTTTTCATATTATGTATTTTCGAGTCCCAACGTTAGTGATCGCGCTGTGTACTGACAAAATTTTCATTTGTAATTCCCTTTAAAATGGCTGGCAAGAGTAAAAGTGAGAGTTCTCGTGGTGCTGAGAAGAAAAAGAGACACCCATTTTAGAATTTCTATGTATTATTTTCGCCTTTTCGACTTACGACCTGGTCGTCGGGACGGAACCCCATCGTCAGTCAAGGAGAGAATGTAATATTTTGTATCCAATGGTAGTAAACTTGTTGCCAAATGGGATTGCAGTTATTGTACAGCTCCCTCCTCCTCCCCCGCACTTTTTCTCTTACCCTACTTTTTTTTTTACTGATGTTTGGATTAGTAAAGGAAGGAAGATGAGGAAATACAGTGGGGTATGCTATAACAAACGGATTCTACTACGAATATTCCTATAACGAACGGTTTTACCTATAAAATTGAGAATGCTATAACGAACGAAACTCCTACAACGAACAGTATTTTTTTTTTTTTTTTTTACTAATTTTTTTTTATTACAAGTATTAATGATATTATTTATTTCAGGAGTTTAGATGCATATTTATGCACTTTTTTACAATTTTTACAATTTTATATTATATTTTTCAGTGTTAATGGTTGTATTTGGGGGCCTGGAACGGATTAATCCTATAACGAACGAATGCTATAACGAACAAGGTTCTAGAAGCCGAGTTTCATTATGCGTCTGGCTGCGCAGTTTCAACGTTACCAGACCATTTTCAGACCTTACAGCTACAGTGTGCATACTTATTCCTGTGGCCGACTGTACAAAAGCCAAAACATATGTTATGTGCATACCATACTAACAGAACAATGTTTAAAATCCCACTATGTATATTTAAGAGAAAAGAAGAAATAGAATGACAAAATACAGTAAATGAAAGAATAAAATAAGTCATCAGGTCAATAAAATACTGTAATTTTAAAATTTAAACTCGTTCGTATTGGCGGATGTGGGGGGGGGTGGCTATAGCCATAGGAGACTGGGCAAGAGTTTTTTGCCCAAAATGGGGGGGGGGGCATGAACAAAATGGTGGTTAGGTTTGGTTGGTTGGTATTTTATTTGTGATTTACTCGAGAAAATAAAAAATCAAACTTTTGGTATTACTGCGTTTGCACACCGTTCATTCCTACCACTAATCTATTATCATATTCAAATAAGATGTCTAATTATAAGATAATTTTCATCATTACATTACTGGGGGAAATGTATAATAACGGAGATAGCTTATCCAAAATTTTCTCTATTTTCTTCCATTAATCTTCTGCCATTATCATCTGCCTCTCCTCCAACACTGCGTGTCTCCTGCGTCTCCTTCATAAATCGTCACGCGCATGCGTTCCCGTACACGTCACGCGGCCAATCAAAAGCGCTTTTGTTTTTGAAACCAATTAAAATGATTTTGGGTTTAATTCGTGGTATATTTGGCCCAATCAAATTCGAGTTTTACTTTGGGTCTCTCATATTTCGAAATTCAAGTTCAGTAACTTCAGTTCCGACCATGGCAGTCTGCGATGGGTGTCACTTCAATCATATGGAGCTGATTGCGAGTTTTTGAGAAAAAGACGAAGAAACTAGCATTTTTTTGATCGCATGGTGTTCTTCCAACCTCAGTAAAGTGTACTAAGAGCAAGACTGAATGTAAATATCGCAAAGACCAACATATGTGACGTTGTGTAAGAATCTCAGAATCCAACGACGAACAAGAACCAGGCCAATAAGGTAAGAAATAGGCAATTCCATCATATGGTGAGAGTCAGTTAAGTTAGGTTAGGTTAGGTTTTTGTTTTTCTAGTGTTTTTTGGTATATTTTGCCATGATTTTTTTTTCGGTAAACGTCCAACGAAAAAAATTCGAAAAAAAACAACCACTAATTTCCCCCAGAAATGAAGGTCATATTCGGTCTAAACACACACAAATACACTAGAAAAATATATTTTTGACTTTCTAACAGAGAACGGTGTGACAATGCAAATTTACCAATATTTTTTCCGTTAAGATTTATGTGAGTGTGTGGGGGGTGTATCTAAAAACAACTAGTGATTTCCAGAGGAAATGAATATCAAATTCATTCGAAACTCATATTTCTAATATCAAAAGAAAGACCGGAACCAGATGTAATCAAATCATGGTGACACTTGTGACTTGGGAAATCTAATAATATTGAAAAATTAATATCTCGGTTATCCTTAATTTCCGGCAGAAATATCATAGAAGAAAAATGTTTTAGAATTGTCTAAACATTATGAAACACATATTAATAACAGCGAGAGAAAGACCAGTGCATGACTAAAAATTGACCCTTTCAACTTCCAAATCACTATTGAAACCTAACCTAACTTTTAATAACAAAATCTTGCCACAGCCATTAAACAAATATAAACAGAGAAAGGTACTCTTGAGTGATTGATGTGGAAATAGAGCAAAACAATCGAATGTCAAAGTTTAATGAACTTTAAGGGAAGAGGCCAATGAAAAAACAAAATATGCTGTGCCAGGTTTTCTCATGACATTTGTCACATTGTTCCAGTTAATGATAATTCAGAGGCATTGAGGACCTCGAGAATATTGCAGTTCATCAATGACGTCACTCAGTGGTGGACAGATCAGTGGCGGGAGTGGCGATAAAATTTTGTTTTTCGGTCATTAACTTGGCCACTTCACCTGACCCCTGACCAACACTCACCCCAGCTCAAGTCATCCTTCACAACACCATCCGCATTACTCGTAGCCTCCTTTACCTCTAGGAAGACAATCTTAACGGCCTCACCCCTTAACCTCGGGAGCCTCACCTAAACTTGTGTACACCAATAACAAATATGTCCTCACAGAGGCAGCCATACTTGAACCACAACCCTGCCGCCAAATTTAAAAACTATTCTCTCTGATTTATATATAACATTATCATATAGTAATATATTCTCCTCAATTATTAATCATCATAATAAAATCTAATTAAGCATTGTCTTTCAAGTGTTCATTTACTCTCAGAATTTTGGGTGCAGTAAGGGCTTATAGATGGTGAAGGGCACTAATTAACAGGTCAGAAACCTATAATATGATTAGCAAGCCGATTAGTAATTGAGCTGTAACTGTAGGTTATACGCAATTGAAGAGAAGTGGAGAGAATAGAGCGACTCAGTTGCCTTGCTTATAATATTGGTGGACAAGCGGTAGGGGTGACTCAATAGAAGTCATAAAGCATAAACATTGTGGGGTATGAGTTTGTTTGGTGTTCACTCAGGATGGGTTAGAGAAAGGAAACTCACAATGTGCTCTCTATATACATGTTGTATGGGATGTACAATGCAGCTTGGTGCTGGGAAGGCAGCATGGTTACAAGCGTGATGTAGAGAGAGCTGGTTGGTGAGGGTGCTCAGAGAAGGACCAGCTTGTGGGTCGCCATGCTCGCCGGCGGGAGAGAGGACCGCCAGGCAGGCGGAGGAGGTTTGTTGCTGGCTGGTTGGTGTAGGTAGAAAAGAGAGAGATCACCACGAGGTCAGGTCTTAAATAGCGGGGGGTAGGCGTGGCTTAGTAGTTGACCCCCGCTCCGTGATGTATGGCGGCGCTGGTTGACCTAGACCACGAGGCATACACTGGGGAATTGGTGGGGTCGGCTACTTAGTGACACAGCGTTTGTAGGGGAGAAATCCACTACAACATCTCCGGCCAAGAAAAACAGAGGAAGGAACTATTACTCTTGCATATCAGTGTTGATGCCTTGGTTGTTGTCGCACTTGTAGATGACACTGTAGTGGACGTCTCCCCTACAACTGCTTATCAGCATTCCAATGCAACAGTATCCTAGCAACCAAACGAGCGGCCCAGGGGAGGGGGGGCGTCACCAAATGCCACAGTATCCTAGCAACCAGCCACCTGCTACGTCTTCCCTAGCAACAGAGTCAAGAAACCGGCGAGTTCCCACGGATTTACTTCTGATTGCTGTGTATATAAGCTCTGTCTCTCCAGTGAGATTCATTCTGCCCTCGGTTCCTGAACACGCAACACCTCCTCCAAACAAGCTTGTAGGGGTATCGAGATATTAATGTTGTCTAGCACTCAGCATGGAAGGAAACTCTAATGTGGTTTTCTTGTATAATATATAAGTTATATGATAGACAGTCTGGTGCTGGAGGTGCCGTGTGGTGAGGGGCTGCTCAGTAGAAGCATTCGGTGAGTAGCGTGTTGTAGGAGGTAGATGTGCAGGAGCTTTGTTAGAGAAGATGTTGCCTGTTGCTGGCCTCCTGGTTGAATAAATGCTGACAGCGTGGAGCTTGCTGGAGGAGGTGTTGCGTGTTTAGGAAGATGGGCCAGTATGAGAGTTGGTTGGTGAGGAAGCTCAGAGAAGGACAGCTGGTGGGTCGCCATGCTCGCTGGCGGGAGTGAGGACCGCCAGGCAGGCGAGGAGAAGCAAAGGCAGCGGCGGAGGAGGAGGTGTTGCTTGTTCAAGAAGAATGGTCAGAATGAATCTCAATGGAGAGACAGAGCTTATATACCCAGCAGCAGCCGCCAGTCCTCTATGAATCATGTTGGGAAAACCCAGAAAGTCGCCGGTGACTAGTTTCGTTGCTAAGATACGGTAACATCTGGTTGGTTGCTAGGGAAGGCGGTAGCAGGTGGTGGCTGTGGCTACGCAGTTGTAGGCAGTTGTAGGGGAGACGTCCACTACAATACTCCCCCTTCCCTCCAGCCGGTGTAGGAGACTTGTTGTCTGTAGAGTTGCTTAGCACATGTGAGGCAGACCGGGCGGTGCATGCCTCATGTGAGACAACGGCGATGGCGTGATGAGCCGATCGCTGAAATACAACTGTCTAGATACACACTATCTGTGGGAGAAGGGAGAAAAAGGGTGTGTGGAGGCGATGAATTTGTGTGCTTCCCTCACGGCAGGTACTGGGTCGTCAGATGCGCCTGCTGGGGTGTGTGTGGGCCTGGGTCAGGAGCAGGGGCTGCGTCAGCAGAAGCGGATTAGGGCTCGTGACAGCAGCTGGGTCCACGACAGCAGCAGGGTGCAGGACATTAGCAGGGAGTACCTGAGGGAGAAAAGAGGGGTGTGTGGGTGTCTGGATTCAGGAACAGAGGCCGCGTCAGGGGTTATTGCTGGGCTGGGGTCGGCGTCTGAGGCAGGACGGGTGTGCTGGGGTCGTCAGAATGTGGTGCGTGGGGCAGGAAGAGGAGCCGGTGTCTGCTTGAAGACTGGGAGCGTGATCAGTGTCTCCTCCATCCTGTGTGAGTGCTAATCTCCGGGGTTCACCATTGTAGGGGTATCGAGATATTAATGTTGTCTAGCACTCACTGTCGAAAGCCTTGGCAAAATCTAGGTAAAAATTGTCAATATTACCACCCCGTTCCAGAATATGGGTCCAAATATCCAATACCTTGAGCAATTGTGTTAAGCAGGAGCGCCCCGGCATAAAACTGTGTTGGCAATCCATTTCAAGGTTGTTTCATAGTAGATGTTCCATTGCGGCATCTCTGATAATACTCTCAAGTACAGTACTTTACATATTATGCTGGTCAGGCTCACCGGTCTATAGTTGTTCGTGGAGTGACGATCGCCCTTCTTGAAGATAGGACTTGCATAAGCCACTTTCCATTCACTGGGGACCTTTTATTCATCCAGGCATTTACAAAACAGGATCTTCAGGGGCTTGGCAAGCTCGTTGCACAGCTCTCTTAGCATAGGATGTACCTTGTCAGGGCCAGGACTCTTTTGGACCTTTAGCCTGGACAGTTTATTTCTAATACCCTCTTCTGTGAACACAATGTGGGTCAGTGCTGTGTCGAACTGTCTGTCCTCAAACGCAGGAAGGTTAATAGCATCCTCTCTTGTGAACACCGAGGAAAAGAAGCTGTTCAATGCCTCAGCTTTATCATGGTCAGAATCCAATGAAGCGGACCAGAAGTACTGTATACAAAACTCAAATTTGCCGAGTGATATACTAACCATCAATTCTGTACCAATTACTGCTCGTAGCCTTTAACACTGCCTTCTTTACAGATAGTCACTGCCTGGCCGATGGTTGTTATTTTTTAGGTAGTACTTGACATACTCCATGTACTCAGAAAACTTTAAATTTCTCACTCTACATTTCCTGCCCTGTCAGAGTCGCCATATCCACTTATCTTTGAAGCAACTCTCAGGAATGAAGTAGCTATGGCATCTGGACAGCATTCCCAGCTTTTGGGAGGCAGCTTTAGCAGTGTTGTGGATGTGTGGCTTCTATAACATATTATAGGAAATGGTGAGGCCTACCATATCTATTTTAGAATTTGGCAGAATGATTGCATCCTGAATGTGATTGGTGGGAGATCATCTAATTTGGAAAGAGTAATTGGTAAATACTGTGTTTTATAACTATTGAATTTAACCAAGTTTCTACCTTCCAGTGAAGGTCAAATCTGGTATTGAAAGAGCTCACACTCAGTGCTGCCTCAACACTTATTGGCAGATTGCTCCAAGAATTCACAATTCTCATCCAAAAAAGTTTGCCCTCACAGTTTTCTGGACTTGTGGCTTCTTCAACCTTGAGCCATAACCCCTTGTGGGGCGGGCATCTACCAGATCCAGTTACAGTATAGATACTCGACCAAGTAGTACCATCTGAAATGTTTATAAACTTCAATTAGGTCACCCCTGGCCCATCTGTAGCATAAGCTAAGCAGTTCTCTCCTGGTCACTGAGGTACCATAATGCAGGCACCAGTCTGGTGGCCCTACTTAGTCATTTTCAATCAATTGACAGCATCTACAGTAGCACATCTCAGGGTCCAGATGGGATGACAGTACTCACAATGGCCAGAGAACTTCAGTTCGTTGTCAACATACACACCCAGTTCCTTTTTTCAAGTGGGGATGATTCACCATGTTCACACATATGGTAACATGAACCCACGTTTTCTGACATCTACATTTTTTTTTTTTTATGTTGCTCATACTCACAGTAGGATATCAATTATGCTCCGAGTTGAAAATACGTCTTAAGAAAAATACAAGGAACAAAATCAGTGCCTTAAGTAATTTTAGCTACGAACATATTGAATAAATTGTATTGACACAGGAATCAGCAAAACAAGCTCATAAAAACTTTTATTTATTCAAATTTATGAATGATTTTGGACATTTAACATCTCTAAACATGTGTGAATGAAGGGGATCTGGTGTTGGGTGGGGGTTAGGGTTTGAGCTGATCCCACACCACCAAGTAAATCCAATTTTGCTTTGATCTAGTTTGAAGTTTATAAAACTTAAATTAGCAATTCAGATTTTCTCCATTTCACTCAATGGAGTCTCTGATATATTGTATGTGTTGCATGCATTGTGTAAAGAAAGGGGAAGACGATTAAGATAACAAAAAGAGGAAAAGGAAGAATGCAAATATTATGTCTTCCTTACTAAGCTGGCAACCAAATACAGTAGCCTGTTTATTCCATTCATTGAGGCTGGTTTGGATTTTAGGTGTACCCCAAGTGGCATGTCTGCAATCAACTGCCAGAGGCTGTCTACTTAGAATGGGTTAAATAATGACAATAAAGAAAATTGGTGAGTTAACATTAAGGAGTAAAGCTTTTATATCAGGCAGACAATAAAAATAAGCAAAATTATAATATAGTTGGATTACAACTAAACAATTCTATATTAAAATGCCTGAATGTATATACATACAAGAAGATTAAAAAAAATAATAGCAAGTACAGTATTACCCCGCTTAACGCGCTTTCACTTAACGCGTTTTCGCATATACTGTACGCGGTGCCTTGCCAAAGCTGAACTTTCACTTAACGCGGATTTTTCCACAGCAACGCGGTGAGTGTCCGGCTCGGATGCTATTTTTAGAT